ACCTGTGTCTTCTCTACATTGACTTTGAGGAAGTGCTGTCTTCGCTGTCCTGCCTCTTTTGTCAAGTTGTTGGTTTTCGCCTGTATATCTTCGAGTTTGTCGCCACAAAATATTCTCTATATGGAAATATCTTCATTGGAATACTGAAGATAAAATTTTACCTTTCTTACTTAAGCATCTGTATCTAAGGTCCAAAGAAATAAAGTTATACCAGTAGATCACAGTTATTTCGTTACGATTTACCAGATACCACCTCTACTTTTGTTTCGCGGATTAACGCGAGTCGAAAATCGTAAACCACCGAATTCCACTTTAGTGACTGGATGATTATTTGGTGACTGTAGGATCTGACGACCTTATGTGAAACCTTCACAGGGTAGTTGGTGTAAGTAGAACTGTGGTCCTTTCATGTAGGGTGTTGGCTTTCAACCAACGAGTCATGGGTTTAAATACGCTCTATCTAGCGAGGTTTGGGCTGTCAGGTAGTATCATTAGTCATCACTCATTGCCTTACTAGGCAAATGTGCACAGGTAGTTTCTGAAAAACACATCACTTCTACTTGTGTAATATCAGCTTTTCACTCTTAAGGGATAGAGAAATACACCTTTAACATGGTTTCACAGTGAATGCTGTTCTCAGTAGTTACGTGACCTGTCAGTGAGTTTTTAGGAACATTTTGTAGTTTTTAAATCAATCAGGAAAGTTCTATTAGCTTTCTCCCATTGTTACTATGAGCATTTTTAAAATCTCAAGGCGTTTGTTGGATTGAGAGAGGAACTTGTTGAGCTATCATTATCTCTACATGGAAAGTAAGATAGTGCGATTCGAAGTGTTACTGACCAAAAAACTACGTGGCATGGCCAAAAATGTTTTCCCAGTGAGAAAGGCTTGGAGATATATCACGCATGCCGATCCATCGCTTACCTCGACTTAATATGCTAAGAAAATTCAGATAAGGTTGGAAGAAGGCTCAGGGTGGCCAGACCATGATGTGGAACCAGTTCACGCAGTCCCTAACTGTTGGTCTGAGGCGTGTGGGGTGATGTAGACTACCTGGCTACGATCCCTGAGACGATAGAAATCAGTAATTGAGGATTCTTGGTGATATGACTGGAAACAGTCACAATGGCACAGATCTATTCACTCCTTGACGTCTTCTAAAGCTTGAAGATTTGGATTAACCTTTATCTTCAAATTGTTTATTTTGTCACACATAGTCTACTTTGATATTACTCTTTCTGTATCCACCTGTTCTTTGTATACCACTGTGAAGTGAGCATTTGGTAACTTGAGCCGATCTGCCTTTGTACAAGGTTCTCCATTGATTTTGTCTGTCTGTCCAATCAGAGCACGATCTTACTGCGCATACTGCCTCTTTTATTGACAAGATCGAGATGTTTGCAACATCGCTATTTGTACACTTAGGAGATGAAATTGTACCATGATGTAGGCAGATTTATCACAATTGTTATCAAGCATTATTATCGCATTCAAGTTTTCCATCGTCTTTTAAAACTGAGAAAGAGTATACATGTGTAAGCATTATCAGGAAGCTTTTACTTTAGGATGAAATATAAGCACAAAAAATGACATTCAACACACTGAAATCTCTCCATTAATTGATAAATCACTACCAGAGACTGAGTATAGGGTCCACACGTTTAACTGATAAACTTTAGTATAGCATTGACTAAAATGTACTGCATTCTGTGTCGTATGGTTTCCGTTGGCTTCCTCCTGTCTGTCTGATGAAACCCCCAATATCTTTATGCCTGTGGTATCAAGTACAGCACTGCAACTGTGAATACCAATTATAAAAATACTTGAGGAACCGTGATAAACTTGAACTCTCACTATTCTCCTAGTAGGGTTTCTCATGATTTTTCGACTGAGATTTATCTTTGTCGATTGTCTTCATGTCATCTAACTTTAGTGTGAACAACTAGTAAGGTAATAGTCTATACTGGCCTAATCCTAACGAGGCCAACTTTGAAATGAGTCTATTAAGTCCCTCTGATTTTGGACTGGCTTTTCCCCACCGTCTTCATTAAGCCTGACAGTTTAATACCTTTCCCCATTGCCTACTTTAGCCTTCAAATGTTTCTAGCTTGACATTACTCCCAAGTGTTATTGAAATCGCTTTTTTAAGTTTACAGTTGTGACAGGTTATCAATGTGTTTCTGACAACGTGTATAACCTGCACTGCCATGTCTATAACTAAGGATTCATAATTAATCATAAAGTGAATATCTTGTAACGGACTCTTGGTTAAGTATCCTGTCAACTGTATTGTATAACTTCTGACGTATGGTTACTACCTTGACGTGACCCAGCGAGCTATGCTGGTGGAACGCTTGTTCCCTCAAGGTCCTACCATACCAGAAAAATTTGTTAGATAGTGGTAAGATGAAAAGCAGTTACCGTTGTATTGTAAATTGCTGCACTATGATAGGGATCTGAAAGGCAACATCGTACTGCTGACTAGATGGTGGTGTGACAGCAGTAAGGTGTTTTCTTTGGATGACCAGCAGCGTCACATTGATACTGTCTTCCCCATAGAGAAGGTGGTGGGGTTAGAAAAGGTCGGTTCACAGAATAGCCCACTCCCATCCTTCCATATCATGCCTATCCCTTGTCTTTCTTAGTTACTTCGAGGTTGCATAACTAAATGTAACTAGTTAGCCCAAACGATGATGAAATTAGTCAGTTGATACAAATTACTTTGAGACAAATTCATTCATAAAAAAGTGAGAAATTGATGATCACTTATTGTATCGTGGAAATATATTGATTCAAAACTCTGTGTGATATAAATGCTTTATAACATACAACTTATCCAAATTAGTGTTCAGGATCATATTGGCTTAAGACTAAAAAAATCTGAAATAATAGTTGGAAAGAAATTGCAACACATTACATAATCCTTCCAGATTAGATCACTTATGCTTTAAATCCTACTAACCAACCCCTATGTATACTGATTTTAACTGAAAGAGAAGCCTGAAAGAGATTATTAGCATGTCTAGAAGCGAGTATGCACAACAACAGTCATTACAAACAGTATTAGTGATAGATAATTTGCACCAGAAATAGCGGGTGTTTGAATGCTACTGTATAGTCTTTTATCCCTGCCATGACAGTTGTGTATGTGTGTGTGTATGCCTGTGTCTGTATGCTGTTATCAGACAGAAAGAATGCAGGGCAACAGAATTATTATTAGCTATAAACTTTACTGTATCTGAAAATTAGATAAAGAGTATTTCTAAAGTCGATTGAAAAGTATATTCAAATATATTTCTAAATTCCACTCCTGTCCCATACGTTTCATTAATATTCAGCCATGGTCTTTATTTTTCTTGCCTATAAAAGCCAAGATTCTTGTGAATAAGTAAAGAAGATTGCTTACTGTACTTTATCTTAACTTATTTAGTATAAAGGTATGGTTCAGTGGTTTAGGCACTTGATTTCTAACCGATGCATCGACGCCCAGAGACTTAGCGCGTTACAAAAGGCATTTCCAACAAACTACAGACATTCATAAACAACTGCCACCTACACTCACTCCTTACTGAAGATCAGATGGATTGCCAGAATAATAAGAATAAGCAACAAGGAACTCACTCCGACTGGCTGGCAACAAACCAATCAACAACCTATCTCTCAACAAATATGCAGGGGAAGGAAATGGAGATGGATTGGGTATGCACTGAGAAGATCATTCGGCGATGTCATGAGCCAGGCCAGCCCCTCGAGTAGAACCCAGATGGGAAACGACGAGTTGAGCGTCCCATCTGAGAGTGACATGGAGGAGATGGTGTGAGGAAGAAATGAGAGCTTGTGGGCAGTCGTGGAGCCAGTTTCAAAAGATTTCAGAGAACAGAGTGGAATGGAGACGTGTTACTGAAGCCCTATGTTCCACTAGGAGCCCAAGGGACAAATAATGATAAATACAATAATATCAAATATAATGTACACTTTTTAAGAAAACTATAAATCAGTATGTTCACCACATATGATTACGTGGAAGAAAAAAGCAATAACAAGTGAATAATTACCAAAGATAACAGACTATTTGATAGTATAATATAATTATAATGATAAATAATAGACTGGAGTCAGTATATGCTGACAATCTGCTTTATTTCTAATTTACTAAGGTTATGATTTGTTTTGTTTGCTATACAGTGGTTTAGTTATGATGTTGTCAACCAAGTCATTTCCGTAGCGTATTCATCGCCAATATAGTCCTCGGTAATAGTGTGTTAGGGTTCTAAGACATGACCGTCAAAAATAAAAGAAATGGTTGCAGGGTTTTTATCATAGATATTTTCGTAGGATTGCTCACGTTTGATGGAATCACCGTGTGAACAATGCTCAAGTTAGGCGAAGGGTATTAGGCAAGATAGGCAAGTCGATGGATATGGTTGTCAACGTTAGTCAACTGAGATGGGGCTGGCTTGGATGTGCCAAACCACCGTCTACCTCGATATGCTATGTTAGGAGAAGTTGTATTAAGTTGGAAGAGGGTTCAAGATAGTCAGACGAAGACGTGACATCAGTTCATACAGTCCTTAATTGTTGGTCTCAGCCGTGTGAAGTGATGTAGACTACCTGACTGGGGTTCCCGAGACGATAAGAATCGGCAGTTGGAAACCCTTGGTGACATGACTGAAAATCGGTCACAATGGCACGGATGTATTCACTCCTTGATGTCTTCTAATGCTTCAATATTTACACTAACCTTCATCTTCAAATTGTCTACTTTGATATCACTCTTTCTGTATCCACCTGTTCTTTGTATACTACTGTAAAGTGTTTGGCAACTTGAGCTGATCAACCTTTGTACAAGGTTCTACGTTGATTTTGTCTGTCTGTCTCTGCATAGTTTAGTTAGTTCATATTGCCCTCAAAAATCTCTTGTATATCATCTTGATACATAAAAATTAGTTTTTCTACTCTTATCTCTTTATATGTTGTTTTATTATTGATTTCTGCGCAGGTAATTCACGTGGGAAAACTGTCACACTATCAGATGCATTATCCTTATTATCTTCAGGATTTTTGAAAGGTCCAGGCGGATTTCTAAAGGCTACCAGTGCTACTGATATGATTAAAGGTACTAGTCCAGTTAATCGAGAAGTTCGTGTTGGTGTAACATATGTAAGTATACAGTAAATGTTTATCACAATTAACTTTTTGTTTTCATCCTGGTGACTAGCTGTGGGATTAAGGGTGCGCGTTTCATCCTGTTTGGAACGCGTCAGTTGGGTGTACCCGGACCTCAGTGAGTGATACTGAGACTCAAATCCCGTACCCATCGCTTCATTCGTCGGAACGTTACTCATTGGGGCACAAGAGATACCACTTGTGATATGGGTATCAGTTGTTGTTGTTGTTTGATAATTGTAATTCCCCGCTGCTATAATTTAGTCCGTTTTGCATTTAAAGCACAATACAGTAAGAGCAGTAGTTACCGAATGAAATGTATTCATTTGATCGCATCGATTTTGACTTTCTTGCGGTATAATTGAAAAGAAATATATGATCAGTGTAAAACTTAATACACTTTACATGTAAAGTTTCTCTGGTTTCTCTTGTGTTGCCGACCCCAAGCGGTTAGTCTGCATTGCCCTACTTGGCTTAAGCGAATAGTCAACGTCTTCATGCATTGATGCCATATTTTCGTCTGTTCACTTCGAGCCTTTTTCCAGCCTGTAACTACTTCCACCAACATTTTATGATGAGGCAGATGGTGTGTCACAGCTAGCCATCTCAGTCGATGAAGGTTCACAACCTCATCAGCTTTACCTCTCTTCGAATCGATACGCCTCAAGTTGTCACAATAGTTGACGGATAGGAAAATTTCAAAATTGTTCTGATTGACTGAAGCTGTTATTGTTAGGAAAGCTGAACGCTATTGATTATTCAAAAGGAGGCAGTAGTTGACCAGCTCACACGTTCCTTTGTAACTATTGTTGTTGTATGCAATTCAAACTTGTAATTTGTTGTTGTTAACTAGTTTGTGCCAAAACGATGGACCATTTTTGACATAAATTGGCCGGTGTATGAGTGCTTCGACATAACTGTTAATTTCTAGTAAGATGTTAATATAACGATTCATTATTTACTTAATAAAGATGCTACTATAGAAAACTGACCACCCTATTTATAACAGGACCTACAAAACTATTACTTTCATATATAAGCTTGAGATTCTACCAAAATTTATCTTTTGCATGTCTGAAAAAGGAGAAAGTTTAAAAAGTAGCTAGATGATTGTAGCCGTGGTATCCGCATAGAGGAATTGATACACCAATACTACTGTAGCCATCATTCCATTTTAACAAACAGAAATATGGTTATATTATTATTTGTCCCTTGGGTTCCTAATGGAATATAAGGCTTCAGTAGCACGTCTCCAAAATCTCTTGAATCTGGCTCCCAACGGCGCATTAGATGCTGAAATGGTGAAGGCATTGATAATTCCTTAGATCGTAGAAATTTTCGGATGTGAATACTTACAATAAATAGTTAATAATGTAGCATGCCACCATCTGTGATAGCGATATCCGTCAACGAAACATGCTCTGATTTACTGTGAAAGTGTTGACACGAGATGATTAACCAATGGAATAACTGCCTTTCTTCCCCTATTCACTACTAACATTAAACGTATAATCCAGGTGTCTGTTGATGATTATAATCTTGTCTAATTGGTGGCGTTTCGTTTCATTTGGTACCCTTCAATTGATTATACCTGTGCATCAGAGGGACCGACACCACTCACTGGGGGGATGCAGGAACTGATGAGCCCTAAATAGGAAGAAAAGACACCTAGTAGTAGACTGCTATCACTATTTTATCCTCAATTTCCAAGTACGAAATAGTTACACTGTACGATGCTTCCATCAATAACTACTACGATTATGTATAGAATAAATATTAATCTTGCAACAGGCACTTAATATCTTAGACTTATGAAGTTTTTTTTCACCTGATACGAAATAGCTTTTGGCCTACAGACAAAGTTAGACATTATCCAATCGATAACATCTATGTTAGCTAGTTATTTGTTAACAATCGAGTAGTATACATTCTTTCATAAGAATAACATTAATAATGATTATACCTTACTAGTTTATGTAGGTAATGAAATTAGTTTGACTCTAATTATCTGTACACTCAAAAAATCCTATTCATATACTGATTACAGTCTATTATTTATCATTATAATTATATTATACTATCAAATAGTCTGTTATCTTTGGTAATTATTCACTTGTTATTGCTTTTTTCTTCCACGTAATCATATGTGGTGAACATACTGATATATAGTTTTCTTAAAAAGTGTACATTATATTTGATATTATTGTATTTATCATTATTTGTCCCTTGGGCTCCTAGTGGAACATAGGGCTTCAGTAACACGTCTCCATTCCACTCTGTTCTCTGAAATCTTTTGAAACTGGCTCCACGACTGCCACAAGCTCTCATTTCTTCCTCACACCATCTCCTCCATGTCACTCTCAGATGGGACGCTCAACTCGTCGTTTCCCATCTGGGTTCTACTCGAGGGGCTGGCCTGGCTCATGACATCGCCGAATGATCTTCTCAGTGCATACCCAATCCATCTCCATTTCTTCCCCTGCATATTTGTTGAGAGATAGGTTGTTGGTTGGTTCGTTGCCAGCCATCCAGCTAGCCAGCCAGAGTGAGTTCCTTGTTGCTCATTCTTATTATTCTGGCAATCCATCTGATCTTCAGTAAGGAGTGAGTGTAGGTGGCAGTTGTTGGTGAATGTCTGTAGTTTGTTGGAAATGCCTTTTGTAACGCGCCAAGTCTCTCACCCATCACACAGAAGCACTGACTTGACTGAATTTGTGTTTAAAATCCTGATGTTGTTCGTGCTTTATGGTGAGTGTAGTGCAGAAGATCTCCATAGTGGTTTCAGGTTAATGAAGGAATGCCTGTCTTGCTGTCTTTCCGATCCTGGCTGGTTTGTTGTCCTCGTCTGTGCCTTTGTCGCGTGTAGTTGAAACGATGCTGCCTAGATGGGTGAAGGAGTCTACTTCCTTTAAATTTCTCCTATTGATGATGATTTGAGCTTTTTGTTGTTGTTGTTGTTGGTGGTGGTGGTGGCTTTGGTTGGGTATCATCATCACCTGTGTCTTCTCTACATTGACTTTGAGGAAGTGCTGTCTTCGCTGTCCTGCCTCTTCTGTCAAGTTGTTGGATTTTGCCTGTAGATGTTCAAGTTTGTGACATTAGACACAAGTCGTCGGTGAAATCCAAATCTTCTTCTGGGGTGTTTTCATGGGTCCAGCCAGGTTATGCCCATCTTCTCGCTCCTCATTGTTTGCTGCATTATCCAGTCGACCACAATCGTGTGTTATTTGTTGTTGTATACAGTGCTTAAAATTGTATGTCATACTGTTACCCATTGATGTTTGTGAAAATATTTTACAAGGTGAACTGAACTGAATCATCACTTTCTGATATTTTGTCAAAGAACAATCTATGCTAATATTGAGATATTTTCATATAAGAGTGTCATATACAAAGTGAACAGATTAGTTTGAAAGCAGATGCGAGGCGATAATTAGTTCCGAAGTCAGTCCTTAATATATGGAAGCAGCGAAATCGAGACAAAGATATCGAAATACACTCAGCAACCTTGTTTACGTTTTTGCGATAAGCAGTGGACTACACTTATTGTCTAAAGTAACCCTACGCAAAATTTGATAGACGGAGTATGTTCTGACTGAACCCATGAAATCACTGGTTAGAGATCGATTGATTACCTAGATGGAGGAGCCACAGATGTAGAAGCAGCATTTGCCTGAGATTACTGACAATATTAAATTGTTATAAGCAGGGCTATATTCTAATTTATGTGACACTGAATAAAATTAATGTTATGATTTGGAAACTACTATACCGCTAACTATGCACGGATATCGATTGTTAGCCACCAACATTCAACAATTTCCTAGCTGATTCCCGATCCAACTAATTGATGTTATTATTTGGGGACCATATTGCCTGTTTCCTCCACCTATTTGACCGACGCAGAATGAGTTTCTCGTTGCTTACTGTGGGATCAGTAGTCTTCTCGATATTCTTTTGGCGGGCAGGTGCATGAGCATGGAAGTCAGCTATCAAACAAAGAAATTTACCTATCGATCGAGAACGAGACCTGTGGCGGTATATGGAGGATGACCTTTGTGCACACCGTCCTTATGGCTCCCAGCATTACAGTTCCGGCGTCGATGTTGCTTATTTGGACAAGATTTGATGAAATGCCGGGCACGACAATGCCAACAAGACAATGGGGGCGTCTTCTTTGAGGGTCGGTTAGTACCTCGTGAGTTACTGAGCCGATGAACAGGCAAGATAAGGCCAGGGTCAGTGTGTGGCCAGAGGGTGATGTAGAAGAATGAGATGTCTGGCGAACTGCATGTACTTCAGAAGCACCCCGGATTCCAGATTGAGTTAAACTCTCGTCATGATAGAGATTACTCAGTCATTGATATTCTGCAGACGTGTCATTCAGTGTCTGGACTGTCGCATCGAAATTGTGATTATATAGGTTCTGTGGCGAGATCATGTTGCTGTACTGGTAGAGGTCAGGTGGACCAAGCTGTCAAAGTAGGAGATGTACTCTTCAGGAATCATCTTGGCCAGGAAAATCCACTTTTGCGTAGTTTTTATAACTCCTGAACCAACTATCTAAAGTCTTATTGGCATCAGGATTGCGGTAAAATGCAGTCATGCTATTGGAAATGCCATCAACTGAAGGAGATATTAAGACTAGGGTAGTAGGCGATAATTCAGTACCAGAAAGTTTGGATTGTATAGTTATCTCAAGAATCCTCATTTGTTGTTCGAGGGAATTGTCCAACTTCGAAGAATCCATTTCCCAATATCGCATCCCCGTTGTCACTGTTATGATTTGGGAAAACTGTTATGTGCTATAGTCGCTAACGATGCATAGATATCGAATGTTAACCACCAACATTCAACAAGTTGCTAGTTGATTCCCGACCTGACTAATTAATGGAGAAGATACGATGAACGTGTATAAAGGTGTATTGGGATCGAAGAACCGAAGAAAAGAACAAATGAAAATACAGCTAATACAGCTAATAATCCTGTCGATTGGCTGATCCATCGTCTGTCTGTATAATAGAGAAGCGATAACATGAATTACATTTTGATCGGTCCATTTCCAGACTTGTCATTTATCTCTATCCCCATATCAGTTATGGTGACCGAACCACGAAGCCAAGGTAGCTTTACATCAAGTCAAAGCTGTAGATGGTGGTATCATTCGCTGAACCTTATTTAGAACTGTGGCTTATTTATTGGTTTAGGGAAATGACTTTCAACCACTTGATCTCTGGTTCGAGCCCCACTCCGCTTACCTGGGTTTGGGCGGACAACCCTTACACAATAGGTGTGTGACTCATTGCCTACTGAACGAATGTGCACCAGGTGGTTAAGTCCATTTCAATTCGATTCGATTCAAACCTTATCATTTCAGTTCCTTACTATTCGCTATAAAATGATTCGTTTGAAAATCATTCCTTTGTCAATAGTTTAAATTTATTTCCGTTTGTGTATCACATTAAACATTGAATACATTCAAAACATCATTCTAATACTCTCTTTCATCTGTTCATTCTCCTGAATACCATACTAAAAAAAGACTAGTAGTTTTTTATTCATTTCATAGGTTCTCAGTGGAAAAAAATGTTTGTAGAGGATATTTTTTTTTCTGCTACACATGTATACTCAGTCGACATTTCTCTAGTATAGTTATTTTGACAGAATGCTTGTTTGTAGATTCGATATTTTTCAATATTTTAGCTGAAATATTTGAAACGACTTCAAACATTTACATATCCGTGTATGAATGAATGTATATGTCTGTATGACAGAGTAGCGTACACAATACCTAAAGCCATAACATTGTTGTACAATTGACGAGTAAAGAAATCTGTCTTTTCTCTGATGTAACACTGACCGATAGCTGTTGCCTTGACAAGGTGGTCGGACTTGTGTTTCATGACCCAACAAGCTCTGCTGGTGGAACGCTTGTTCCCTCGAGGTCCTACTATACCAGAAAGGTCTGTTAGATAGTGATTAGACAAAAAGCAGTTACTCCCTACCCTTAACATTTTTTTAAACAGTGAAATAATACCTTAGATCGGTCGTCAGTGGTTAGTGGTGTTCCCAAACCCTCAGGGTGTATATCCAACTACACCTTCCATAGTACAAGCCAATTTTCGTGGCATCAAAAAGACCATACATGACCGACCTCTGTCAGATATCCTTTGGGATCTCCGATCATGCACTGAGCCTTTTTCAGGTACCTCAAGAAGATCTTGCCTTCCATGTTACAGTAAGCTGCGAAGTGTTAACCGCTCTCTCAACTTTGTCAGTGCTCAAGTTCTTTTTGCAATAGAATTGTTTTACCAATTGTGCATCATACTTATTGTACAACTGGACTAGGTGTTCATTGATTAGTGTTCCATTAGCTCGACTTGTGTATTCTGGTTGAAACAAAATTAACGTCTTTGACAGAGTAGAAAAGCCCCGTTTGGCGTTTGTTAACTTGCAAGATATCTGAGTATCTATTAAAAGACAAGTATACTGCCCTACAATCTGTTCCATCCTGTTATACAGTTGCGAGACATGATCGTTGAAAGTAAAAGACATGAAACGATTACAATGTTTTGTTCACAAGTGTCTTGGTAGCATTGCTTGCGTTTAGTAGAATCACCGTGTGAGCAATGTTAAGGTCAGGTGAAGGCTAGTAGGCAACACAGACTTGTCAGTGGATGGGGTTGTGAACCTTAGTCGACTGAGATGGTTGGCCTGGACATGTACTGCGCTTACCGAGCCACCGCCTACCTCGAAGTGCTATGTAAGGGCAATTCAGTTTCGGTTGGAAGCTGGTTCAAGATGGCCAGACCAAGACGTGACATCAGTTCATGCAATCCTTAACTGTTGGTCTCAGTCGTGTGGAGATGGGCACCAGCTAGCTAGCTAGCTTAGCTAGCTGGGCTCCTCGAGACAGCAGGAATCAGGAGATGAGGACTCTTGTTCACATGAGTGGAAAACGGTCACAATGGTGCTGATATATTCACTCTTTGATGTCTTCTAAAGCTTGAATATTTACACTAACCCTTTATCTTCAAATTGTTTATTTTCTCACACAATCTTGTCTACTTTGATATCAGTTTAATGGTAATCACATTTCCCTTCATACATAACTTTGCTTTAAAATCACTTTTGAAAGGAATTCATTAGAAATAATCTGTCCTACTGTTAGAGCATATATGTCACAAAAAAATCGTTTTTCTCTTGTTTTTCCTATTCTTCATTATTTATTTACCGTGTCCACGTCGTTTGCGTCCTGCTTATTGAAGCATTTCTTATATCGGTTTATTTTTGTCCTAATTTCTACCTGTACTTGTATATATATGTATGGTATAGCAGACTAATGAATGAAATCCAAGAAAGGTAAAGAAAATGATACCAGGTGATGATTCAAGGCAAATGAAAATTTGAACCGCGGTGGGATTCGAACCAACGACTAAATTATCATTTTACCTTTAATTATCACCCAGTATCATGACTAAGTCTACGAATAGTTTTGATCATAGAGTGTTACTAGGTGACCTTGGAAACCTGCTTTATCTTGGGTTGAGCAGTAACATCAATAGTGGATACTGATAACCTACGGATTTGGGGTGAACTGAAGTCTTCCTGACTTTGCCATTGCCATTGCCGTAAATTTGGATGTTCTTTTTTAAGGCATCTATCCTAGTTTCTTAGGATTAAGAAGATATTGCATAGATGTTGTATCCTCGTCTTGTGCGAATTTACACGACCGATGAGTAGTATATCGAAATGGGCTTGGCAACCCTGTGCACCTTTGTGCAGTAGGCAATCAACCACACCTACTGTTTGTGGACTGAGGATAATACTAACTGACTGCCATCCATCCATCTATCCAAATCAACAAAGAACCAGGCATTACTGCGTAATGGTCCGAGTTCCCGCAGCTCATATCAGTACATCAAGTAAAAAGGCAATGAGGTGCATGATGAAGATAAGATAATTCAGTCAAAAGAATTATAAAGTACAAAAAGAGAGAAAGGAAGAATAAGAAGATGGTGAGATTCGCTATAGCGACGTTGTAACTTGAAAGTTGATTGAATCAATAAACATGACACCGCGATGGGTAGTGGCGTCGACCATCACATTGTAAGTGTATAGATTAGACTACATAAAATTATGTAGAATGAGTACTTGAGTGCAAACTACTACCGGGGTTCGAACAAGCAGACAGTATAATGAACCCGCGCAAAATTTATGTAACCAACTAATTGTCTAGTGTAAACATTTGTACATGGACTGGTGAATTGGATTCCTCAGTTGTGTAGAAGTGTGATTCGAGTTTGTAAAGAAAAAAGTGAAAAGCACAACGTGTAATTGTTTGTTTGAGCTGTTGAATTATGCAGAATATATGCATATGCCTTGTCGACATCACAGGTGATTAGTACGCACAAGGGTGGATTCAAGCAATAAGGAGAATTCTTTGTTGTTAAACTGATCATATCAACATCAATATCAACATAGGACCAGGCATTACTGCGTAACGGTCTGAGTTCCCACAGTTCATATCGGCACACCGACTAAAAAGGCAGTAAAGGGTAAGATGAAGATAAGAAAATTTAAGTGTAAAGAAATATGAAGTACTAAAATAAGGAAAGGAAGAATAAGAAAATGGTGAGATTCCGTGTAGCGTCGTTAAGATGAGGACAATGTATATATACATCTGCGCCACTGATATCGGTTCTGAGCCATATCAACTAGAGTCTCCAACCACTGGTTCCTTTTGTCCCGGGACCCCAACCTGGCTAGTCTGCATCGCCCCACATGGCTTAGACCATCAGTCAAAGACTTCATATATTGATGCCATGTTTTCATCTGGACACCTCGGGCCTTTTTCCAGCCTGAACCTACTTTGGTCAACATTGTATGACGAAACAATCGGCTACCAGGATATGTCACACGCATCCCGACCATCTCAGTCAACTGACTTACCTCTTCTCTCTAAAACTCTACACCTGACTTCTGCGTTGCTTATGTGATGACACCATGGAATACGGCCTCTACTATGAAGGCAACGGTGGTCAAACACTTGAAGCCTTCTCATATCTTCTAACTTCAATGGCCATGTTTCACAGCCATACAGCAGAATAGAGCGGACTGCTGTTGAGTACACGTGACCCTTAATGGACAATCAGATATTACGGCGGTGCCACAGATGGCGTAAGTTGGTGAAAGCCAGCCGAGCTTTTTGTATCAGTACACAGATTTCATTGGTCACTGAGCCAGCAGGACAGGGCTGATCCCACTTCCCAGGTAAGTCAAGTGGTCGACACACTCAACCACTACACTCTATTGTTAGCGGCGGTGGGCATCGTTGAAGACCAATCCTGTAATAACAATTTGCACTTGAGTGGTAAGAAACGCATCTTAAACATTCTCAAAGTGTTCAGAAGACTCTGCATCTTCTCAGCGTCTTCACATCACATGACTATGTCATCCGCGTATTGTAGGCCTAACGAAAATTCTAGTGCGATTACGTCAACGTGTGGTATAGTCAGGTGATGAGAGAGAAAGAGACCAGCTTAAGAATATCTGTGATAAAATTGAATAAGAATGGAGAGAGTGGGCAGCTTTGACGGACACCACTCGAAGAGTACACAGCTCCCCGGATTGCCCAAATCTTGGTAGGTAGAGAAAAAAGTTTGAACGCTTGACCTGCGCTACTTAAGAGCACATAATAAAAGCGCTAGCCAACGTTCATTGTCTACCCTTTCATCATCCCCAACTGCGTTACTCAACAGATACTACAAGCTACTTTTAAATTGATCATAAACTTGTAATTCTTTAACATTTAGATTATTAACTTATTGTTGGTTAACCTTTTGTTTAAAAAAAATAAACATTTTCTTGACAGGCTTATATTGAATTTATTGTTGAAATGGGACCGCAATGGTTTGAATCAAACTTATCAACTATACTAACACATATAGTCAATCTTTTACTAATCCCACGAGCTACACCGACACATGTTGAAGCAATCTGTGCACGAAAGTGTATACAATATTTATTGGGTACTGTATTTCGACATTTACTATCTGAATCTATTCAGTTAGTTGCAGCCAATGAAATAATAAAGATATTAACTTATCATCTACAATCTTTACAAAATCTTCATACCAATGAATATTCAATAAACAATAGTAGTGATGTATTTCAACAAATATTCTCTTCATCTATCTCCTCATCGTCTTCAACACTTACTGCTATTGGTGGTAATTATACTAGCAGTAATAATAGTAGTAGTAGTAATAATAATACTATGAATGAATCTCCAAATGCTGTAATGAATGATATTTTCAATGAAACTCTATCAGGCAATAATAGTTTTGATGAAGTGAATGGTGATAATCAAATTACTCCTACTACTTACAATTTGGATAATATAACAGAAATAGATAATGGGAATATCATTAAAAAAGCTTTTGGACGTCAAATTTCTATGACAACAATTACAACTGCTACTACTACTCCTACTCCTTCTGCTCCTCCTACTAGTAGTGGTGGTAACAGCAGTTCACGTTCAAATAGGGAACAACAGCATCAACATTTAGTTATTTGTTTATTAGATATAATTAATCAGTTAATACGTTGGTTAGATTCATTAGTTGGTGAGTTATTTCTATAAATGTTTTGATTCAGTGAATAAATGATTAATTTAGAGGGAATTTTTAGTTTTTTGTTGTTGATGATTTCTAATTGGTATTTACCACGCACTGTTATCTGTTGAAGAGCTATTGGAAAGCTGAGAGCACTGGACAACTGTTTTGTCTTTGTAAGAGATTCCTCAACAGTTCACATCCAGCACCTTCATGTTCCGTAGCGAATAAGGTACCATTGAGTCACTGGGTTGGATACCCATGACTCATAGTTTCTTAATTGTCATAGATGTGTACCACTTGGGAGTCTTATACTAGGACGAAACAGCTGTCTAGTGGCCCCCAAGTTTCTAATGTCCCTCCATGATAAGTGTCAACTTGAGGTCAATAAATCCCGACAAACCCCAAATTGAATCCTGGGAGCACTGGATATCTGTTTCCTCCTAATATCGGACTCCTCAGCAGTGCGCACTCATGACTCCACCTTACCAGGGATCCGAAACAGGACCTTCAGGTTCCGTGGGCAGCCACGTAACCATTGAGCCACTGGGCCGAAATTCAATGGTTCATATTTCCTACTTCTGTCAGTTCACGATACAGTGCGACCTACGTCTTCATGTTTGACTCGGTTGACTCCATTGGTCATGACTTCTCATTGGAACTTCGGGATTCACCTGTCGAAGGTAGTCACCAAATGAGGACTAGAATAATTCAGTCTGGAGGTTTCAGGTTGGTGTTCATCATGGACTGTCACTGGTTAGAGGAATATTGTAAAATCATCCTCATATGACTGACTTGTTAGTCAGTTGCTCATTATCCAGAAGTCTACTTGCCAATATTCATTCATTTCAGAACCTATATAGCTATATCAGATAGACAGACAATGTCAACATAGGACCTGACATTACTGGGTAGTGATTTATGTTGCCACACTTCATTACAGAACATCAGGGGGAGAATACGCCAAGATGAAAGATGGGAAAATAAACAAGAAGGTAGTCAGAAGTGGTAGAGAGTTATAAAAAGAGAATATGAAGGATTGCGAGAATACTGGCATTCAGTATGACAATGATAATGCAGATAGTGCGTGGATAAATCTGAGCCAATGAGATCAATTTGAAGTCATATCACCATTGGTTTCTGTTGTCATGCAAACAACAAACAGGACGTCTACATTTCCTTATACGGCGTGGACCAATAGTCAGAGATGTGATGTATTAATGCCATGTTTTAGTCCGGCTGCCTCTGACCTTTTTCCAGCCTGAACCCACTTATGTTGATATCGTGGAATGGCTAAAGACATGCGTAACAAACGTCTCAATCACATTAGTCATTGAACGAATAGATTCTCACCAATTGACTTTCCTCTTTTCCATAAAACCCTAAGTCTGACTTCTACGTGGTGACACCATGATAGGCGGGCTATGCTACGAAGGCAACGGTGGTCAAACACTTGAAACTTCATGTCCTGTTTCTTTAATGGCGATGTTTCACCGTCATAAAGTAGAACAGAGAGAACTGCAGGATAGTACAATCGAATATTATGGTGGTGCCACAAATGGTGTCAGTTGATGAAAGCCGACCGAGCCTTTTGTATTCATGCAGAGATGTCGCTGGTCACTGACGAACATAGCAGAACTGATCCGGCTTCCTAGGTGAGTAAACTCATCAGCGCAATTAACTCTTCCATTCCATTTCATTAGACATGGCACCTCTGAAGATCAGTCCTAGAGCAACAATTCCCCTTTAGGTGGGGAGAAATGCATCCTAAACATTTCCGAATTTTACCACTCAGGTTATCCAAAAGACCTTGGATCTTTGTAACATATTCATCTAACGCAGCCAAGTCATCTACGTACTCTTAACTTACTAAGAATTTTTTTGTAATAGAGTAAAAAAGTGGAAATCATTTATGGACATCATTTGACGTACACAACTCACCTGATAGATAGCTTACCATTGGCTCTAACACTCCCACGGATATTTGAATACAGAGTGGTGTACTTACTTGGTACCTCTTTCAGTTGGAGACGCTGTCATTAGGCATCCTGATCGATGGAGTCGGATGCTACTTTCAGGTCGTAAAATGCAACTACTACCGGGGATCTTTAAATGTGCTTGTATTTCAGAACCTAGTGGTGGAGTGAATATCTAATGAATAAGCTCATGACCAGGTCTAAAACCTGCTTGGTTCTCTTGGATTTGTTGTTTCCTAGCTCCACTCGGATGTCTGCTAGTTATAGAACGTAGAATCTTAGACACTATATTCTTCAGACTGATTCATCTGTGGAGTATTTCCCGCCTTTTTAAAGATTGGAATAATCAGTGATTGAAACCGGTCTAAGGGGATCATATCTGACTCTTAAACGTTAGTTAACATTTAAGTTAACCTGACTATTAGTCTGTGAACATCGTCCAGTCCTATTGCTCTTCCTCGACTTCTGCTAGTACTGGGGATCGTATCTCAGTACTCTATTCAAGATGCAATTGGATAAATGGCGATGGAATAGTAGCTGGCAAGTGGGTCATAGATCAGTCCTTCTCTACTATCATTCGTCGAACTATTGACGTTTTTGCACCAACTTTCTTGATAAGTCGTGGAGCTGTATACTAGTAATTATCACCGTTACCTTTTCCATATCTTTAACCTTCGCTACCCACTACTACTCGTGGTCATTGTGTAGAATTTTTGTTAGTCTACGCGTGACTTGTTTCCACTCTTCATTGTGCTTGTAGCCTGCATGGATGCGTTCATGTGCACTCATTTATTCAGAAGAAGCTAGTGGGATCCAGTGGTGATTTTTTTTAACCACCCTCTGAGAATCGACTACTTTCTTCAGTGCTGTTGTTACAATAGACTGGAGGTAGCATCAAGCTTCTTGTGGATAATTGATATTGCTCTGTTCTGATAACTAACTGTCTAACCAGTTTTTTACTGATAGAAACTTTAGTGCTCTGAGTGTTTAACTGCATTCACGATAGTCTCATTGCTATAGTTTTCACAGCTACTTATCATATATTATTTCGATAAGTATATTCATTGGGCGGGAGATTTCTGACGGATTTAATAGTAGTTTTCATCACAAGTTGATATTAGTTGAGTTAGTCAGTCACTGAGGAATAGTTATCCGGTGCTTTCAAGGGCCTGATCACTTGTTGTGGAATCTGAATTCAAAGTTTCCAACTTGTAGTATTGAGGTGTTCTAATAGAACACCAAACAACTGTTCAACTTTGGTAATTTGTTTATCATTTAGTGTATTAAACTATACCATCTTGTTTGTTTTCTTTTAGTTCAACTTTTAGATCAACCTACTCAATTAGTTGATGTACTCTGCACATGTTTGATGCATCCAATACAAGCTGTTCGCCTTGCAGCTGCATCATGTTTAAGACAACTAGTTATTGTTTTACCAAGTCAACGTATCCCATTACTGAATCGTTTTTTATCATACTTACAACAATCGCATAGATATAATGCAGATACACTTTTAGGTGTAACTTTCGGTATCACTGGACTTTTAGCTGGAGTTAACTACTCTATACTCGGTTTATCAAATAATATACCTAAACAGGTGAGTTGAATTTTCTCTTCTCTACTTTATTCACTACTCTATCCTATGGAATATAGAGAATACTACAGATTATTTAAAATTTAATCGAAACTATTGTTCAACATTTGAATATCCTAGATAACAATGGCTTTGATATTGTTGTCTGGTTCTTGTTTCTTGGTAACCACCTAATCGAGCTATACTCACACGACTGAGTCTTTTATAAACCATGTATATATATACATCTTATGTTGGATGATATCATTATGGTGAAGAGTCGATGTGTTGAGCGATTTTCTGTCATTATTGGATTAGTTTACTAAACTTATCAATTTCAGCATACTCTAATGATGCTGTTGAATACAGAATATGAACAAAGAACTCAATAGTTAAATATTATACTAACAAATGGTGAACGAATGAATACAATATGATTTAGGCTTCAATGATTCAGATTCTCAGCGATATCTCAAGTCATAGGGTTGCGTCATCTCTCAGACATCATGACTATCCTTCATCCTTCGATGCTACATCATGTATTGACCACATCTTCGGTTTCTTTTTAATCAGTTCAAAGACAAGAAAACAGTGAACAACAAGGAAGCTTCTGAGACGAAAGTTGTCGCACTTGTCAAAACTACAGTGATATGTGTTTCAAGATGATTTTACACAATGAATAACGATTTCTATCACACTCAAACACACGCTGCCTCATCTCAGAATTAATTTCATAGTGATCCTACTGAAGATAATAGCTATTGAATACACAGTTCATCAGAAACCCTCAGTTCACAGAGGCAAGGATCCATTAGCATAGGAAAGGTGGGTTTGTGCTGATACACGATACACTATATGCCAATCTAATATGGTACTTTGGAAGTTTGTTGATGTGGAGCACATGGTAAACGTACAATCACTTTTCACCTACTGATTTGCGTACTATATATATTGTCACAGATCTGTATTATATCATCTGCATACTGGAGGTCGACAAGTTTTTTTCAGTAGGTCTGGATCACTATCATACACTTTTAGAGCTGCCTCGACTATACCACCAATGGCATACTTAAAGAGAAAGATAGTTGTATGTTCTTACTTTATCTTATCTGTTTTTATGTAAGATACTCAAGTTGTTAATTAAGGATACAGGTTCTGAACGAACAATTTCAGAGCACCGTCCTGTTCAATCAATTGAAGACAGTTCTAATATCAAGAAACACGATTATTGGTCTATAATACTTCTGACATTGTTCAAGTTATCTGGCACAGGGTGAAGATATATATATATATATATATATATATATATATATATATATATATATATATATATATAATCAGTGGATCCACAGCCTGAACACAACTTAGTGTGCTCCGTGCAAATTAGCTTTCCATGTATTATACACAGTAACCAATAATTTCAACCCAGTTACTAGCAGACTGATACTCCGCTCTAATTATTATTGTCACATAGATTATGTACACCTTTTTACAATGTCCTCATTTTCGGCGGTGATGCGACACTCACTCTGTTATGCGTTTTCGAACTAAATTCTTGTGTCCGTGCTCCAAAGTATCCATCTGAACCTCCGTTTTGTTTGTTTAGTTTAGTATTAACTGACTATGAGACATAAGTAACTGGGATTCAAGTTGTTAGAATAGCACACAGTATGACATCAGTAACGTGTTTTCCTCGACTCACTTGCGTCTAAATTATATTATTATTATTTATTTGTCCCTTGGGCTCCTAGTGGAACATAGGGCTTCAGTAGCACGTCTCCATTCCACTCTGTTCTCTGAAATCTTTTGAACCTGGTTCCACGACTGCCCACAAGCTCTCCTTTCTTCCTCACACCATCTCCTCCATGTCACACTCAGATGGGATGCCCAAATCATCACTTCCATCTGGGTTCCACTCGAGGGCCTGGCCTGACGCGTGATGTTCACAGTCGGCCTTCTCAATGTATGCCCAATCCATCTCCACTTGCTTCCCCTTCATATTTGTTGAAAGATAGGTTGTTGGTTGGTTCGTTGCCAGCCACAGCCAGAGTGAATTCCTTGTTGCTTATTCTTATTATTCTGGCAATCTATCTGATCTTCAGTAAGGAGTGAGTGTAGGTGGCAGTTGTTGATGAATGTCTGTAGTTTGTTGGAAATGCTTTTCGTGAGGCGCCAAGTCTCTCACCCATCACACAGAAGTACTGACTTGACTGAATTTGTGTTTAAAATCCTGATGTTGTTCGTGCTTTATGGTGAGTGTAGTGCAGAAGATCTCCATAGTGGTTTCAGGTTAATGAAGGAATGCCTGTCTTGCTGTCCTTCCGATCCTGGCTGGTTTGTTGTCCTCGTCTGTGCCTTTGTCGCGTGTAGTTGAAACGATGCTGCCTTGATGGGTGAAGGAGTCTACTTCCTTTAAATTTCTCCTATTGATGATGATTTGAGCTTTTTGTTGTTGTTGTTGTTGGTGGTGGTGGTGGCTTTGGTTGGGTATCTTCATCACCTGTGTCTTCTCTACATTGACTTTGAGGAAGTGCTGTCTTCGCTGTCCTGCCTCTTCTGTCAAGTTGTTGGATTTTGCCTGTAGATGTTCAAGTTTGTGACATTAGACACAAGTCGTCGGTGAAATCCAAATCTTCTTCTGGGGTGTTTTCATGGGTCCAGCCAGGTTATGCCCATCTTCTCGCTCCTCATTGTTTGCTGCATTATCCAGTCCACCACAATCAGGAATATCATTGGTGGTAGTAGACAGCCTTGTTTTACTCCTGTCTTCACTTCAAAGGCGTCACTGAGCTTCCCATTTAGAATCACTTGGTATGTGGCGTCTTCATATAGTTGTTGAATGAGGTTGATAAAAGTTTGTGGTATTCCATAGTGTTGAAACAGTTGCCAAATTACTTGTAGGTCGATGCTGTCGACGGCCTTTTCAAAGTTGATGAATTTTAGGTAGATGGTTGGCTGCTATTCTGTGCCCTGTTCTATGGTGATGCGTAGCGTTGCAATTTGATCCGCACATGAAATGTGCTTCTCACTTGCTTCTAAATTATATTGTCAATAAATTCTTTGAAAACGTTGCTTCTATCAACCGCATATTCCTCTTTATCCAATCACTATAACTTCAGGAATAGATGGGACTCTTCAATGATGGATATTTTCAAAACTTTATGTTATAACTGATTTCATGCATATATTGTGCGGATTCGCTTTTGGATAAACTCAACTTCCAGATTGTAGGTGGATTTGATTGGGCATACGTATCGTCTACTGTGTAACAGTCTAAAAATGTTTTTTATTCATCAATGATCACTTCCACACTTCCTTGTATCTCACTTGTTTTCAGACTTCTAGCTTCTATAGTCCTCATTAAGTTTTTCTATCTTTTGGATGGTGGAGAGACTAATAATTCATTTGTGTACGACAGCATTTCTCTTCCTATTGAACTCCTTCCTCGAACCGATAACCTTCGATCCTTGAGGGGGGGGGGAGGTCATAGGTGCGAACTGCTGAGGACGAAATATCTGTGTTCCAGTGCTCCCAGGTTTCCAATATTCCTCCAAGTGATGTCAATCCATGATGAATACCAACCTGTAAACATCTATTAACCAATAAAATGCAATCAGAATGTGTAAATTACTGGGTAATCAACTAAGGGTTACTGTGTGGGTCTAGTCAGCATAGAGTTAACATTTTCTTTCGATGCGCATTCAAGGCTTACTAACATTTCATACTAGAATGAAAATACCCATTGACGATATTGAAGAAGTACTACAGAAGTTCCATGGAGATGTCTTTGTTGATGATTTCATTCTCTGAAACTTCTATGTATAATATTTTATTGAGTTATATGTATTGTTTTGATGTATGTCAAAGAAGATGTCTCAATTGAATTTTGAATGATTCATACACCATTTTAATGTTATTTCATAGTGAAATGACTAAATTGTTTGAATACTTGATACATTGTTATATGTTTTCCTATTAGCTGTTTCAAACCTATGACTCATTGGTTCGAACCCCAGTCACTTATCAAGGTTTCAGCAACCAAGTAGTAGGTATCAATATCCCCCACACACACAATAGGTGTGGTTGATTGCGTTACGTTGCATCATCTTATTATAATACATATGATAGTTGTTTTTTTTCCCCTTGTTTTATTATTAATTTTATACTTATGTATTTTTAGATGTTTAGCCTAGCTGAGGAACTTTTACGTGAAGCCAACCAGAATAGTCGATTTACTTTAGCTCGTACACAAAGTGGTTGGAATTTGTTAGCTGCATGCATAACTCTTGGACCAAATATTGTTAAACCACACTTAGCTCGAATCTTCTTATTTTGGCGTAATGCATTCCCGCGTAGTCTACGTGAATTAGAAGCTGAGAAACAACGTGGTGATGCTTTCACTTGGCAGGTAAATTTTCATCATTCATTAAGATATATACTGTAGAGGAAAGAAAACTCTGGTGTAATTTTTGATATCCTTTTAGTTATGAAGAGAAAAGAGGCGAATCAATGAAAATGTTCTTTTCGACGAATTGACTCTCTAAAGTTATTCATCATCGACTGATATCAGTTGGAGAACTAATGAAAACCTTGGAGCACTGAAAAGTTGTTTCACCCTAGTGTGGGACTCGTTAGAAATGCACATCCATGACTCCATCGGGAATCGAACCCAGGACCTTTAGGTTTCGCAGCGAGTGCATTACATTTAAACCACTAGGTGGCGAATCCAATGATCTACATTTTCCTGCTTCTTTCAGTTGATGATGCAGCACAACCTCCATGTAATGCCATGTACAACATGGTCGATTCCACCGGTTACAACTTTTCATTGAAACCTAATGAAATTTCATCTCGAAGCACGTTACTGATAAACACTGAACAGTTATTCATTTTTGGTGTACGCATTGCTATGGAGCCCCGTAATGGAATAAAACAGCTATATACTGCTCATTATTGACATGCTTCCAGTTGAGATTTCCTGAAGTTGTAATGAGAAGTGATGACCAGCGGTGCAAATCAAGTTGAAAATGAGGACAGATAGTCAACTGGAGGAGATGACTCGTAGTTTGAAAGTAAAAAAACACTCTTCTTAGCCATCTTGACTACTGGTTCTTCAGCTACAGTATATTACCCCTGAAATCAACAGTCATAAATATAGTCCTTTTTTGGAACTGAATGAATCTGCTTCGCATATTGAATAGTGGAATAGTGTAAGATAAATATGCAATAGTTACAGTTTTTACAACTGAATAACCTTAGGGAAAAGAGTAAAGCACCTACCGCAAGAATAAGAGTGAATTGCTAATCACACTGACTAAAAAGACCTCGTCAATTTAATCGTTTTTATATGACATTTTGGTTAACCCATCTTCATTTGAATTATTCCAACCAACAATGTACGATGTTTTAATTTATGATTTGTTTTGAAGTGGTGTTTAAAGACAGACAGACAGACAAAATCGATGTAGAACCTTGCATCCAGTTGCATCGGCTTAAGATGCTACACTTCACAATAGTACACAAAGAACAGATGAGAATAAAAAGACTGATATGAAAGTAGACAATATTGTGTAAGAGAATAAACATGTTGAAGATAATCGATAGTGCGAATATTGAAGCTTAAGAAGACGCTGAAGAGTTAATACATCTGTGACTGATTTTCAACCATATCACCAAGAATCTTATCGTCTCGGAGGCTCCAATCAGGTAGTCTACATCTTCCTATACGGCTCACACCGACAGTCAGAGACTTTTTGACTATTGCCACGTCTTGGTCTAGCCCTGCTGAACTCTCTTAAAACTTAAGCCAACTTCCTCAAACATGGCATATCAAGGTAGCCAGTAGTTTGGTATATGTTTTATACATATCCAAGTCATCTCAGTCGACTAAGGTTCACAATCTCATCGGTTAACTCAGTTATTGTTATTTACAAAATATAGACTGTTCATCACATTCTACTAGTAGTTGACCTTCTTTTGGATTATGTGGTACACTGTATCTTATCCCTAATGATTTGTCATCAAATATGAACTTCCTGTATATGGAATTCCTCTTCGTACAAAGGTTGACTGAATGTATCAACACTTGATAATGTTAGTGATAGTGTATTCTAAGATCCTTATCGTATATACTAAAAGTGATAATAACTAATCTTCAGTTAAGATCCATATTCCTATGAACGTGTAATAAGCTAACACTGTTATAAGTTACATAGATTATTGATCATTATGTATTCATAAGAATAATCCATAGTAGAGAGTTGGAATACTCTACAATCGGAAGACTGAATTATGTACATCAATGATATGTTTAAAAATATTTGAATGTATCTTGATCAGCAATTGTTAGCTGTGGAATCGGGATATGTGTTTCGTTCTAATTGGAATTCATCAACTGAACTCAAATCTTATACATATTGTTTCAAATGCCAAAGACTCAATACAACAACCGAAGGGAATAACAAGTATTAATAAATAACAACGGAATACATTGTTTGGCGTAGAAATTGATCAGTGAATTAGTGTAATTCATTGTGTAATGTTTATTTTACTGGTGTACTCCAGGCTTAGTATGTTAGAATAAATAACAGACTGATATTTTGTATGATTCTCAAAGATATTGATCTTACTAGAAAGAGATCGTTTTCTTTCAAGAGTATGCACATTATATTAACTTTTCAGGTCAATATTGTAGTTTGATACACAACGGTGGCCTTTATATAATCATTCAATTTGATCGTGATATAGGCCAATTATCAATGTAATGTAGGTGAGTGATTTAACAAAGTGGTTAAAGGAGCTTATTCAAGTTGTGCAGTACAAGTAGAAAATAGTGCAAAGAAACAATACTTCTTAGCCTATTGATAAGATTCAACAAAACGTTTTTTGAGGTTAAATTTCTTAACATGACAATTAGAAGCCATCGACATAGCCTCTGGAAACCTCAGTGAACTAAAATAAACGCTAATTATATGTGTTACTCTAAAGGAAATCTCATTATCGACTTCATACTCCTTCTCGAGTAAGAGACGAGTGCTTAAGTGATAGGCTTTATCGAATCTATTTTAAAGTGTCGGTATGCATCGATGTACATGTTCTCTCAGTATTCTTCCTTTGCCAAGGCACATCCCGACCGATAACTGCTACCTTAACATGGATGTCATGCTTATATATCACAATAGACCCAACGAGCTAACATGCCAGAAAGGTTTGTTAGGTCGTGGTAAGACGAAAAGTAGTTACTATTGTAGTGTAAATTGATATACTATGATAGGGGTCTGAAGATGAAGTCGTACTGCTAGCTGGATGGGATATGACAATAGTAAGGTGTTTCTCTGGGATGACCGGTAGTGTCGTGTTGATGTTGCTTTCCTTATGTGAAGATGGTGGGGTTAGAAAAGGTTGGCCATAAAAATAGCACACTCCTTACTACCCTGTGGTATGCCGATGCTGGCGAGATGCATTCACAGTTGGATTTGAACACAAAATACCAAAGTCTCAAATTTATAAAAAGGCTGTGTATGGTCACACACTAACCCTTCTTTTCATGTACCTGAAGAAGAACTAGTCTTCCGTGGTGTGGACAGCCGAGAAGTGTTGACCACTCTCACAAGTATGTCGGCATTCAAGTCCCCTCATTTGGTAGAGAATCGGCTCGGTAACTCATAAGCCGGTTGTTTTAACCTCAACTCATATCTTCATTTCACCTTCAATCAGCACTGAGTATCAATAATACCGGTCTACTAAACCGTGGCTATCTCACATGCTCTTATTGATAGTAAATAGGTTAATTCAATCACATTTCATCGATTCCTATCCTAATAATGAAGAGGAGTGTCAAGAGGAATTCATCAAGCGCCCACTTAAGACGACGGATATGTGTTTCTGATAGAATTTCTTTTTTTGTCAAGAAGTATCCCAAACTTTAGTGCTATATAGATGGCAATCAAGCAGCAGATAACCCTGGAACTAAGTTTCCTGCTTGTGGATCTCAGTGTCGCGTCACTTCACTGAGTGATCACTTTACAAAACTCGATCGATAGATCCAATCAGTGTTGAACACTAGTGATCGGGTTGTATACCAGACGTTTGTGTTTTAGAGAAAGAAAGTTCATCTCGTTGTTTGTTGCTATAACGAGTGGTGACAAGTCAAATCAATGAAATTTAGTATTTATTTATACTTTTTTTTGTAGACAATTGTGGCTTATTATGATGATTTATTTTAGAAGTAGCATTCATCATGGACTGACATCAGTTGGGGAACCATTGAAAATCTGGAAGCACTGGACAGCTGTTTCGTCCTAGTATGGGACTCCTCAGCAGTACGCACCCACAACCCGGTTACGGGTCGAACTCAGGACCTTCAGGTTCCACGGCGAACGTGTTAACCATTCAGCCACTCAGTCGGTTTCCAGTGGTTCACAATTTCCAACTTCTGTCAATTCACGATATAGCGCGACTATCACCCAAAGTCTTCAGTTAGCATCCACTTCACTTCCGACTGGTTGACCCCACAGGTCACGGTGTATGGCTCCCCGACTGATGTCAGTCCATGATGAATACTACTTTTAAATTAAAAATTCCCATTTATCTCAAAAATACGATAATTTGTTTGTGGCTAGCAGAAGAATCCAGGATGTGCGTTTCGTTCTATTTGCGACTCGTCAGCTTGATATACATGCATCTCAGTGAATGATCTTGTTTCCACTGAGATTCGAACCCGGTATCCATCGCCTATTAGTTTAAGGTGATAACTTCTAACCGAATAGATCACCAATCAAAGCATCACTTCACTTACCAAAGTTTAGGCAACCTTTACGCAACAGATATGATTCCATTACATACTGCATGAATGTATACACACAGAAGTTCTAAATTGTACGTACTTTATTCAATATATTTACTAAATCAATACTATTCTCTATATTATAATTATTTTTAATAGGTTATGCTTGAATCAAGATCTGGTGCATTATGTTCAATACAAAGTTTTTTAGAATATTGTTCACCATATTTACTTACAGAAGATATAATTCATCGTTTATTACCACTTATTGAATGTGGATTAAATATGCTATCACAAATGAATGATATTGTTCGTATATATGGGAATCATTTAAAGTTAACAGCTGGTTTTATACGTCTTCGATTATATCGAATTTTACTTTTATTACCACCAACAGCTTATACTAGTAAGATGAAATTTATTTATAATTTTTCTCTAGTTAATCGATTTGTTCAGCGTCTATTGATAGATAAACTCTTTCCTATATTTATGCATATCTCGATACTGTTGAATTTCGATAATGTTTTATTCATCTTAGTGACTAGCAGTGGAATTCAGGATATGTGTTTCGTCTTATTTAAGACTCATCAGTTGGATGTATCTATATTCTATTCCCACTGGGACTCGAGCCCAATACGCACCGCTGCAAACGCCAACATTAAGTCATTGGAGCATGACAGTCATCTGGTGTGCAACAGATATCAGTTATTATTGTTATGATACTTGTAATTTCCCGTTACTTATACTTGGTCGAATTGTTCGGTCTATGGCATATACTTTTATGGATTTTCTTTTCTTTCTGTTATTCATCCCATTCTGATACAATTTCATTCTCTTTTCTTCTCTTTAGCTTCAGTGATTTTCTTCTCCCCACCTACCCCTCTCCCAAGCCTCTGTCCAACAACTGATCTATATTCAGAGTATAGTAATAATACGTATTTGAAAATAGAGTAGCAACACAACTTTATCAGTCATTATTTTCCTTTCCATTACTTTCAAATTATTGTTTTTGTCTTGTCTTCTGAGTGAGTAACTACATCTTGTAGGGTTTTGTGAGATTAAACGTTGTAGATAATAGCCCATTTAAGATATGTCACTTTAAGAATTTGCTCCTTGGCAGTTAGATTTTAATCAAATTTATATTCTAACCTGTAGAAGTTTTATAGCAACGATTGTTGTACCACGTATGAGTAATTATTGGCTTAGGTTTCGAATAATTATAATTCAATACAAGGTTAAGGGTTCGAACCCAATGTCGTCTATTTCTACCTACGGAAATATTGCATCATAGTTTATATGACCCATATACTAAGCTAACAATTAAACTGAATCAAGTTATTATCTAAAAATGGCTTGAATTTTAGTCCGTAAGACTATGAAACAATCCAGTCGATCAATATCAACATAGGGACCGCCTGACATTGATGCATAGCAGTTCAAGTTGTCACACTACTGCACCACTGACATCGGTTCTGAATCGTATCTTCACCTAGAGTCTTGTGCACCCCAACCGGGTAGTCGTCATCTTCCTACATGCCTCACATCGACAATCAAGGACTTTATGTACTGATACCGTGCTATCATTTGGTCAGTCCGGGCCATTTTCCAACCTGAACCTATTTTATCTAATATTCCTCGACGAGGCAGACGGTGGTTAGACATGCATAACAAATGTTCCAGCCATCTCATTTCAAGAAGATTCAAAACCGCATCAACTGATTTTCCTCTTTTTCATAAAGCTGTACATCTGACTTTTGAGTTCTTGACATAGTGATACGCGGTTTGTGGTCATGTCTTCTACCTTCGGTTGCCATGTTTGACAGCTATAGGGTGGAAGCGAGAGAACTGCAGCACAGTGGTGACGGCACAGATGGGGTAAGTTGGCGAAAACCAATCAAGCCTTTGGTAAGCATGCAGTCATTTTGTTGACCTCTAAGCCACCAGGGCTGATCCGACTTCCTATGTAAGTAAGTGAGGTGTCTAACGAACTCAATCACTTCATTCTCTGTTGTCTGAGGTGGATTTTTAAGGTTGCCAGTGACTGCAGTAAGTTCGCTGATCATTTGCTCTTTCCCGATCCTCTGTCTTCTGTCATCCATTGGCTGAGAATCAAATAGATGAATCTTATGTGGCGAATAAGTTAGTAATTAATAGTTTCACCCTTTGCGTACATAGGTCTTTCCAGATGGAACCGACAAATCCTTGGTTTTATGAGAGCATACAGAAAGGTAGAACGGAGTCTACCTACACTTCCTTCTAGATAGGTGATGAATAGGAGTAAACTACCTTAAGATTATTCTTAACTACACTCCAATTCACTCTGTTCTCCTCTATAGCCGCTAAAAAGTCATTAGAAAAGGAAAGAACCTGAAGAAGCTTTATATGCTCGATTTGTAGCATAAAATTTGTGTTGTGGAACCAGCACATCAGTAATGTAGAAGTCAGGTGTGTAGTGTTTTAGATGAACGAGATGTCAGTTGATGAGGTTTTGAGTTAATACACTTTGGCGTTTGAAGTGGTGGGCACTGGGTTCGAATCTTAGACATGACCATTAAAGATAGAAGATAAGAGAAGGTTTCAGGTGTTTGACCCTCACTGCCTTCATAGTATTGACCGTGTTTCATGGTATCACTACGTGAGTAATGCAGAAGTCTGGGGTAGAGTTTTACGGAGGAGAGGTAATACAGTTGATGCTGTTGTGAATCTTCATCGACTGAGATGGCTGGCTTGGAGATGTGTTACGTATGCCTTCCCACCGTCCGCCTCATCCCACAATGTTGACCGAAGTAGGTTCAGGGGGGGGGCAGTCTAAAACGTGGCATCAATGCGTGTAGTCCTTGACTGTTCATTCGAGCCATGTAGGACGATGAAGATTAGTAGGGTGGGGTCTGTGGGACAAAAGAAACCAGTGGTTTGAGACTCTAGGTGACGATATGAATTGGAATCGATATCACTTGTTCAGATGCACACACAATATGCTTATTCTCATCACTTTCTCATTCTTCCTTCCTCTTTTTCACTACTTTCTACGTCTACTTCTTCTGAGTGAGTTTTATTTCCTTTTGTCATCTTCCACTTTGTTGTCTTGTTACATGATGTACTGATATGAGGTGAAGTATGGTAACTTGAACCCGTTACGCAGTAATGCCTGGTCCTATTTTGATGCTGATGATGATGATGATGAAATTAGACGAAACGTGCTGCCTGGATCCCGCTGCTTGTCATCAAATAGAATACAATACAGTGCTCACGTATATTGTCTTACGTTTAACAATAGTAGTAGCGGTAGTAAAGTAAATATTATCTTGTATTTATTCAATTTTCTAATTTGATACAATAGCATTCGTTCATCATTTATGGCAGACAAGTCCTAATCAACAAGGTAATAGTGCTTCATTCACTTTTTTTTAAATGCTTACTGCTTTCTTCGATTTCTTTTGTTGTTTTGATTGTGTTGTTGACGGTTTATGCTGATGATTGCCTTGCTTTTATTCGATGTTTTGGTGAGTGAAATGTTTCTCAATATATATTAAGCATACAGCGTACATAGGTCATTATTAAGGCGACTTTAAAGTCCACTGTAGCAGCAAGGATAGAAATAGTCACTCATCAATTTTGCATGTACATTTACATAGACAGTGTTCACTGAGCATGTGAAAGTTCACTCCGACATTTGTTTATATGTATAATAGCAGACCTATATCTACTACTGTCTGCTTTTATTTGGTTAGAATGATGGTATACTGAAGGGCAGTCTTGTCTATCATTCTTTCATTTATTCAAGCGAATTTCTTCTAATTTCATTTATATCCTAGGGGATAATTAAAGGTGAAGTGAAAATCTCATTTCCTGGAAGATTTGAACTAGAGTGAATTGCAGGTTTGGTCATCCAGCTATCCAAGTTGTCTAAAGTTACTGAGTGGATTTCGATTTTGATGTAAGGATTCGAACCTTCAGTCTGTCAACCTAGCACTTTACCAACTCACCTAAAAGACCAGATCTTAATATCACCTTAGTGATGAAGGTTTTTTGTTTGTTTGAGGAATTGGTTACTTATCTGAAAAGGATTTTTTGATAAGTTATATGACTATTTGAAGCAGACAACTATTTTCAGAAAACTCTGTGTGCTTTTAGAATCTCGCATTGTTTTTTCCTCTTGAAAGAATTATAATCTTTGAAAAATGATATAGAAACATGCCTGACACCCGAAATATGATTTAAGCTAAGAGTAGAACAACAAAACGGAGAGAATCTTTCTGTAGATATGCTCCACTATGTTTTATTCTAAAAACAACTTATAAGGTATGTAATTGAATGGTTTGTAAAGGATTAATTATAACGAAATCATTGAAAGGTAGTACTAGATATTTGTTTTCTAATAGTTTGAAAATCTCTCACTGCTACAACTTACTGTTATATCAGTGGATTACAAATCAAAATTTCTTATTTTTCCTGACCTGGTGTAGAAATTTATCCTTACTGTAGGCTTGAGTAAAAAATTATGCCTGATTGATCCAGGTACTCAATTTCAAACAGATAGATTATGGATTCGAACTCAGCTCTATTTGCCAAAGTTTTGGCAATCAGGTAGTAGTAATATAAGCCCTTACACAGTAGATTTTACCGCTGAACGAACATGCATAATGTTTCTATGAGTGGATTTTGATTTATAGACATGTGTTTCAATTCAGTTAAGTAATGATAATATTCTTAGCATGTCTATACTACTAGGCGACATCATTTAGGACTGCCAAATTAAGAGCATGTTGGCTTTAGTATTTACTTCTGCATGCCAACTGGCTTCTACCTACCTACTATTTTTCTTGATTATTTTGTCAACTATCAGTAGATTGTTATTGTCGGTTTATCACTTCCTGTTTACTCTAAACACAATGTATTCACTTTATATTTAGCTGTCTTTCCTAGAAACTACTTGTAATAAATACATTAGCTTATTGTTAGATATCGGGGGATACGCTGAACCGCAGAAAAGAACCTAGAAGACTTGGATTTCGCCGATGACTTGCGTCTAATATCGCACTAACTTGAAGATCTACAGGCGAAAACTAACAAGTTGACAGAAGAGGCAGCGAAGACGGCACTTCCTCAAAGTGAATGTAGAGAAGACACAGGTGATGATGATACCCAACCAACACCATCACCACCAACAACAACAAAAAGCTCAAATCATCATCAATAGGAGAAATTTAAAGGAAGCAGCCTCCTTCACCCATCTAGGCAGCATCGTTTCAACTACACGCGACACAGGCACAGACGAGGACAACAAACCAGCCAAGATCGGAAAGACAGCAAGACAGGCATTCCTTCATTAACCTGAAACCACTATGGAGATCTTCTGCACTACACTCACCATAAAGCACGGACAACATCCAGATATTAAACACAAATTCAGTCAAGTCAGTGCTTCTGTGTGATGAGTGAGAGACTTGGCGCCTCACGAAAGGCATTTCCAACAAACTACAGACATTCATCAACAACTGCCACCTACACTCACTCCTTACTGAAGATCAGATGGATTGCCAGAATAATAAGAATGAGCAACAAGGAACTCACTGTGGCTGGCTAGCTGGATGGCTGGCAACGAACCAACCAACAACCTATCTTTCAACAAATATGCAGGGGAAGGAAGTGGAGATGGATTGGGCATGCACTGAGGACATCACACGCCAGGCCAGGACCTCGAGTGGAACCCAAAGGAGAGATGATGATTTGGGCGTCCCATCTGAGGGTGACATGGAGGAGATGGTGTGAGGAAGAAATGAGAGCTTGTGGGCAGTCGTGGAACCAGGTTGAAAAGATTTCAGAGAACAGAGTGGAATGGAGACGTGCTACTGAAGCCCTATGTTCCATTAGGAACCCAAGGGAGAAATAATAAAAATAATAGTAATTGTTAGATATCATAAGAATCATTTGATAGGAAACATTGCATCTAGGCTTCATACTCTCTGGTACTCGTCAGCCAGTCGTATCTACAACCTCGAGAGAACTGATATCCTCTCTGAGATTCGTACCCGCGGGTTTGAGTTGTCTAATTCACTGCTACAGATGGTCAGTCGCTGCCCGAATCGTTCAGTAGTAGCATGGATGATTACAACACTAGGTAACATGAGTTGGAACTTCAGACAGGACATCATTTACTTCTAGGTTGCAGATATACCTTGCTGATGAGTGCTAACAAGCTCGAAATGTAGGTCAAACAGGGCTTCTTATCGATTGCCTCCAACCAACTAAAATCCTTCAACGTATATAGCGATGCTGAAATTTCTGGCTTAGTGGCCACACTACAAAAATGAACGATAAAATTCGATCAGCACTGATGACTAGACAAAATATAATTGGTTGTTTTCCAGTGGCGAATCAGTGCTAAGCACTCGTTTTCCCCTTTTATCGTCCTCTCCACTGTACTACACACTTGTAATTCTTTCATTAACGATGAAGTGCCTGTTCACGAAACTCAGTTGGTTATATTTTTAAGTCTCGATTAAATCTTCAGTAGTCCTGTTATTTTTTAATGTGGAGTGGTCAATTTACGCAGCATTTACAAATTGCACGATCAACTTTAGCATGTCTCACAGATAAGTATTTTTTCAACTGTTAAACTGTGGTGTTAACAAGGGTTCTGTTGGAAACCATTCCATCTCCAAGCCTAGATCATAAGGTTGCGATCTCTGACGCAAAAGTGTCATGAAGTAGCGAAATATACTACTATTCACTGGACAACTTGAGTAGTAAAACTCACTCACTAGCCAGCGATGGTAGACAGTCGTTTCTCTCCTTTGGAGCCGAACTCGTCAGCAGTGTGTGCGGCGAAAAAAAGATTACACCGTGTGATATTGGCTGGTGGACAGTTTCCAAAGGAAACTGTGTTGATACCACAGTTGAAAAACTAATCAACTGTGATAAATACCAACATGGGATAGTACAGGTTGTAAATCATGTGCAAACTATTCATCGTATTTTAAGTCATCTAGCCAGATTCAAGTTTTGATATGTTTAACATTTGGTTTTATGTCGACCAGTTGACCATACTTTCATATGAATATCTACGCTTCTTAGTGATTCTCTTATGATATCATTTTCGGGCTTTAACAGTGTAATATGGTTAAACTAGCTGAGAGTTAAATAGATAGACACGAGGTATTGGTGTAGGATCATTAGTATGGAACTTGGGCACTGTGGTAAAGTATGACTCCATATTAGATTGCTTATTTGGTATAGCATACAGTATTGGCACAGTATAATTTACTGGATGACATTTCCAGTACAATTCATTGTTCAGTATTCATATATCAAAGTAATCATACAACTTCCAAAATCCCCCTGTATATACTCCAACACCTCATTCATTCTATTACCTTAATGGTGGTAGTAAAAGTTTCCACATATCTGTAATATGTATGACGAGTCATTCCTGTTAGGTGCTAGTGGATTTAATGAGGGGAACGATTCGATGACCAATCTCTCCCTCCATCTAGCCAACTATATTGGGTTTTATAATTATCAGCCTATTCCATCCACCCAGACTGTAGTGTGATTATGGATTACTGTATGTAGTGTGATAGCCGAGTTTGTCTCTAGACAACGTATCTTAGTAGGGTCAACCATTGTATATCTCACAGAAAACATCAAACAGGCTATCTTATTAGTTGGCTTTAGAAACACTCCAACATATGAGTTATCTCAATATTTAACAAGAATACTATGCCGTATAAAAAATTGTTGAAAATGTAGGCTCACTAATTCAATTGAATTAAAAGACAGACTAAATAATATGTAATTAGACGAGGAAGAAAAGATAGTCAGTTTTGATATGATGAGCTTCTATAGAAATATGACAATCTGGGAGTTGAGGCAATCAGAAATGAACTGACAACTGACAATGAATTCAGTAATGGAAGTGAAGTTTCTTCTGAATAAATTATGCTAGAGATAAGATTATGTTTAACTTCCACAGTTTTCAAATTTGAAGACAAAATATGTAGACAAACAGAAGGAGTAGTGATGGGATCTGGAATATCGCCAATTGTAGCAGACAAATTTATGTGTAGAACTGGGAATAAATAACATTAGGAGCATTCTAAGCCACTGGAAAAGTGTGGTGGTGGTGATATGTAGATAAGACATTTACTGTTCTGAAATGACAACATATGCAGAGTTTTGATTCGCACATATCAACTTCTTGATGATACATGCAATGCAATTCATACTTATGAATTATAAAATGAAGAAGGAGACTTATCTATGTTGGATTGTGAAATGGAGTTGAGAGAAGATGGCAGCTTAGACACTAGTGTTGACAGGAGAGCAACACATTCGAATAGATATTTGGATTTCACATCATCTCATTGTGTATCTGTCAATGTAGGCTTGATAAAATGTTTAAACTAAGTGGGTTAGGAGTTTGACTAGTAAGTCGTAATCATTGTCCTCTGGAATTTAGTAAAAGAAAGAGTGGTAGTGTTTGTGGTGATTACAACATGCGTATATGGGAATTCCAACCCCCTGTAGTGCTACTGTATGAAGAAAGTACATGGTAATTTTACGTGGAATTTATAAGAATGCTCGGATGATTAGAGTAGCATTTAAACCTACAAATTCACTGAGAGAGAAACTTTGTTGGCTAAAAGATCTATGGAATACGATAAGATGATTGTGAGGTGAAGTATCTAGGTCAAAACAATCGATCTGGGTCAGTTAGAATAGCAGAACACATGAACATTTAGCGAAACATGCAGTAGTAGACCTTGCTAAGTTATTTAATGAGAAACTTGACTACCGGTCTGCATTCGCTAACCCATAATGACACTACAGTCTGGGTGGATGGGATAGGCCTTCAATTCTGAAATGCAATATAGTTGGCTAGGTGAAATCAACGCCTCACATACATGTAAGAGGAATGACTTATCATACATATTACAGATATGTGGAAACTTTCACTACCACCGTTAAGGCAATAGAATGAATGAGGTGTTGGAGTATATATAGGGGAATTTTGGAAGTTGTATGATTACTTTGATATATGAATATGGGCAGTAGATTCCGGTGGAAACATTGTCCAGTGAATCATACTGTGCCACTACTGTATGCTACATCAAAGATACAATCCAATATAGAATCATTAGGCTAATGGTATCGCTATTTAATACCGAATTTAGTTTGTTTTTCTGCGTAAACTTAGCATCACATAGTGATACTATCCCATAAAATTGGCCATAACTTCCATCCCAGTGGGTCAATGGTAGTGTGCTCCACTGCAGAATGTAAAGTTCTTGAATTCGATCCCTGGCGAGGCAGGTTCATAGATGTGGACTGCTGAGTAGTCCCTTACTGACTGATCATCCAAGGTCATTGGAGTCAACCACTCAGCCGTAATATATACTTTCTTATATTTTAGTTTACTCTGACGGTATAGTAATGCATGTTGTTGTCTTGCATATATACATATATCATCTTATAATTAACATTATACCCGCGGATTATAAAATTATGATTATTTTTGCTATTATTGTCAAGCTTTTTTCACAAAAATGAATGATTTTCTCTCATCTAGCTGTATCTCCGGTTCCCCTGTGTTATGTTCTTGTTTATATTCTTGTGCTTATTATAAGAAATAGGTTTTCAAAGGTTTTCAAAGTTGTTCCTCCAACTGATGTCAGTCTTCGATGAATAACAACTTGAAATATTTCCAAATCTCCACAACCCCCTCAAAAAAAAAATTTAATTGAACTGGTGCTCATTGGTGACTAGCTTCGAGAAGTATTCCCGAAGTTCCAATGACAAGTCGTGACCGGTGGGGAGTCAAAGCCTGATGGCCGTGAGGACAGATACTCAACGATGACATTGGGTGGCGGTTTGCGCTACATCGTGAGCTAACAGAAGTTGGAAATATAGAGCATTGCATTCTGACCTAGTGGCTCAATGGTAACGCGCTGGTCGCGGAACCTGAAGGTCGCGGGTTCGATCCCTGCTGGTGGGGTCGTGGGTGCGCACTGCTGAGGAGTCCCATACTAGGACGAAACAGCTGTCGAGTGCTCCCAGGTTTCCTTTGTTCCTCCAACTGATGTCAGTCTTCGATGAATAACAACTTGAAATAAAAGAATAAGTAAATTTTACAGGGTTTCTAATTAAGTCACTTGTGTAGCATGTATTTAACTGACTTCTTAAGCAGCTAAACTATAAGTCTTTATATAATTGTATATACTTATTGTTTCAATATTTCATTCAATTCATTTATAATAATAATAATAATAATAATAGTAATAATAATAATTTTTTTTATATAAAATGTGTATATTAGGTTCTTATAGTACAATATTACGTGAATTAGTTGCTGAATTTACGCTAACCGATAATATGGCGAATACAACAACCTCTTTATTCAAATCATTATGTCGTTCTGAAGACAGTGTAACTTTGAGTTCATGTTCACAAGATACTGATCAAAGATTGTTAGAAGAACAGGTAGATTTATTTTGACTGTTGATATATGATGATATTGGTATATAATTACTAAAATTTCCAGTTTTATTTGTTATATATATATATATATATATATATATATATATATATATATATATATATATATATATATATATACGCCTAGAGTATAGTGAAGAGTTTCACTTGTTCAACTACTCTCTAGTTGATATAAATTGTGATAAACCCTATCTTCAGCATGTTACATGAAGTTGTAAATTAGTAAACCTCCAAATTGCTTTGTCTATTCCAGTCTAGTTAGCTGAATAACAATATTTCATATCATCCATATAAAATATTGCAACATCAAATTTACTTTTCAACTTGGATAATATGATTCTTAGTGTGTAATAGTTAAGTAAACTGCTTCTTCGAGCAATTTTAAACTCTACTCAAATAACTATTAAAATATTGTAAACCTGGGAGCACTAGATAGATGTTTCGTACTAGTATGGGACTCTTCGGCAATGCCCACCCATGACCCCACTAAGGACCGGACCCGCAGCCTTCAGGTTCCGTGGCCAGCAAGTTAACATTGAGCCACTGGACTGAAATCTAATGGTCGATATTTCTTACTTCTGTCAGTTCACGACAAAGCACGGCCACCGCCCAATGTCATGGATGAGTGTTTGTCCTTATGATCACCAGGTTTGCCCCACTGGTCACGACTTCTCATTGGAACTTCGTGAATCACTTCTCAAAGCTAGTCATCAATGAGCACTAGTTCCCAACCCGATGGCCCAATGGTAACGTGCTGGCCACTGAACCTGAAGTTCGCGGGTTTGACCCCTGGTGGGGTCGTGGGTAGGCACTGCCGAGGAGTCCTATACTTGGACGAAACAGCTATGGTTCAGTGCTCCTAGGTTTCCAATGTTTCTCCAACTGCCATCAGTCCATAATGAATACCAAATCTGTAAAGCCTGACGGACCCCCAAATTCAATTATTGAAATAACCAATCGAGTGTCTTTATTTTGTGAAAAACAACCTTCTCAGCCGAAATCTGATTGGTCTGATTATTTCAGTGATCCGTACTACGATCTTTACATTTACTCATCTTCTTTACAATTCAATGAAGAGTATCACATTCTCTGAGTGAATTCGGCTGCATTATTAGTGTTTAAATGTTTTCCTTTTGTTGTTGTTTTTTCATTATTATTACCATGATGAAATTACGATGAAACTTTTCCCTATGTAGTAAATGCTTAGTGTTCTTACATATCCTCTGAACATCGAGACACAATCATACCTCTTTGACATGATTAACTAGATGTTATATACTGATTGCATGAGGAGACATTTCTTCTTTATCCAGGGAACATTACATCAAGTTTAGGGATTATACTTCTCATGAGGTACCTGAAAGAGATTTGTGTTACCACAGAGCCCATCGGACATCTGCTGGAGGCCTGTTACATGTAGCCTTTTGAGTATGATTATTTTGAACTTTTGTATTTTTGGGGCCGGATGGTCGAAAGGAAACGACGGGTGAACCAACACCGCCAGCCCGGCAGACCGTGAGGCATGGTGGAGTGTGTTATTTTTGGGGCCCACCTTTTCTAACCTCCCCTTCCACTGAGAAGGCAGCATCAACATGGCACTGCTGGTCATCCAAGGGAAACACCTTACTGCTGTCACACCCCATCCAGCTAGCAGCAGTACAACTTCACCCTCAGACCCCCATCATAGTGTAGCAGTTTACACCACAACGGTAACTACTTTTCGTCTAAACACTATCCAACAGACCTTTCTGGTATGGTAGGACCTCGAGAGAACAAGCGTTCCACCAGTATAGTTCGTTGGGTCATTGTGATATGCAAGGTTGACCACCACTTCAAGGTAGCAGATATCGGTTAGGATGCTACCCATTGTGTTATTGTTGAGAGGACAAATAATTTTTGACAAGTACATTTTAGTGTTTAAAATACCAAATTATAAAAAGAATAGATTGAAATTTTTGGAGTAGTAGTGTTATTATTGGAAATACATTTAATCTATGGCTAATAATTTCTTGTAAATGTCATTTCCCCTACCCCCTTTCCCCTCACTATTTGTGTCACTGGTTATCGAATCAAAATACATGATGAATCAGTTCAAGTGGTTGATTGCATGAAACTGAAAAGTACTATAAAACAAAGTAAACTGAGGAATGGTTACTTTGTTTCCATGATGAGTGACAACACTGTCCGAAGTGTTCTAACCAAAAATGAATTCATCTTTATGAATCGTTTTTGTCTCATCATCATTATCAACATAGGACCAGGCATTACTGCGTAACCGTCCGAGTTGCCACACCTCACGTCAGTTCATCAAGTAAAGAGGTAGTGAGATGAAGAATGAAGATAAGTGAATGCAGTCAAAAGAAATATAAAGCATGAGAAGAAAGGAAAGAGAAGCGACAAAATGGTGAGATTCGGTATAGTGTACTTAAGATGAGGATAATGTGTGTATACATCTGAGCCACTGACATCGGTTCTGAGCCATATCACCTAGAGTCTCCAACCACTGGTTCCTCTTGTCCCGTCGACCCCAACCACCTAGTCTGCATCTTCCTAAATGGCTTAAACCAAACAGTCAGAGACTTCATACATTGGTGCCATGTTTTAGTCTGGCCACATCGGGTCTTTTTCCAGCCTGGACCCACCTCAGCCAACATTGTGTGGCAAGGCAATCGGTGACTAGGCATAAGTAGTACGTGTCCCAACCAGCCATCTCAGTCGATGAAGGTTCACAACCATGTCAACTGACTTACCTCTTCTCCCCAAAACTCTACACCTAACTTCTGCATTACTCACGTGGTGACACCACGGAATACGGTCTTTACTACGAAGGCAACGGTGGTCAAATACCTGTAACCTTCTCATGTCTTACACTTTCAATGGCCATGTTTCACAGCCATAGAGTAGAACAGAGCGGACTGCTGTGCAGTACACGCGACCCTTAATAGACAAACGAATATCACGGCGGCGCCATAGGTGGCGCAAATTGGCAAAAGCCAATCGAGCGTTTTGTATCCGTGCAGAGATCTCATCGGCAACTAACCCACCAGGGTTGATCCTACTTCCCAGGTAAGTGAAGTGGTCAACACACTCAACCAATTCACTCTCTATTGTTAGCCGCGGTGGGGCACCGCTGAAGACCAATCCTGGAGCAAACATTTGCATTTGGGTGGTGAAAACTGCATTCCAAACATTCTGAAATTGCCACTGAAAGTGTTCAGAAGACTCTGCATCTTGTCAGCGTCTTCACCTAACAGGACTATGTCATCTGCATATTCTAGATCTAAAGAAAATTCACCTGTGATTGGGTCAACGTGTGTGTAATTAGGTGACGAGAGGGAAACCTCCATAAGAATATCTATGATAAAATGAAATAAGAATGGGGATAGTGGGCATCGTTGACGGACACCACTTGATGAGTATAGCTCCCTGGACAACTCGCCATAGGCTCTTGCATGCCCACAAGTGTTCGAGTAGAGAGCTTTTTGTCTCATCATGTTTCTTGCCTCTTACTTCATAGGCAAAAGTGGGTTGCAATGTGTTTTTTTTTTTAAAAAAAGAAGAAACTAACAACAACTTTGTTGATAGTTATCCCAGAAAAAAATGACAGTACGTTGTTCAATACTCAGCCTTATGCTGCATAGTGGTTACTGGATTCAGAGGCAGGATTACAACAATAAATCAGAACTGGGTAATCATATTACCTTCACTTCTATATTCCAAAATCTAACACCTACCACATGTTTCCTAATTAAAAAAGAATACGCAAGTTGAAGTTTCTTCTGGCAGTTATTCTGAAATATGGATGATTATTATTCCTTGTTTCTCCAGACCCTATAACGTGTAACTGTGGATTTGAATGACTTCTTTCGTCCTTTGGAATTAAAACATTTTCTCGCAGAAGGTATATATATATATATATATATATATATATATATATACTTCTGATATATTGACGGAAAAGTAAAGTGTCAGATAAAGTTATAAACGTTCAGACCATATTTATAATGAATGTACTAGAACAACTTGAGTACTCAGTCTCTTTTCATAATGATCAAAGTATATATTGCAATTCATTTAAGCCTATTTGAAATATTTTGATATTAAGGAACTCGAACACATTTGTTTGTAGCATTATTTGGGTCAGATAACTCTATTGGTTATCGAAGTCACTTAGGAGAATATGTTCAGTGGCTTCTTTTTGCAATGATCGATGAATTCTCCGCATGTATTTGTGACTGACTACATGTACATTTAAATTCCTGAATACAACAATATATCTCAATGTTGTTTTCACTTTAAGGTTAAGATAACATTTAACTATCTTTTGAAACGGTATCTAAGGCCTTAATTGAAAACGTCTCATCTTATAAAAGATATGTGAATGATATCTTAATCATAAGTAATGATCCACGTTGTACTATTTTGCTTCTGAATCGAATGAATGCATGAACTTTGATAAGGGTTCTTGAGTTTGTTTCATTTTTTTCCACTGAAAACATCTTAAGGATAGTTGTAGTCTGTTAAACATGAGTTCAGATGGATTATCTTCCTTAAACTAAAGATACACCAACATTATCCTCGTTTCAAAGATGACTGTCTGTCTGAACTCCTTTGAAATAGTTTTTTTATACAATTTTTAGTTCCATAACGTTAATTAACTATACAATGAATAACTTTTAATTTCCCATCGTTGTTTGGATCGAATTATTCGGTGTATATTGATAGACAGGGCCCTCTCGCGGGCCCCTCATTATTGCTTGCAGTTTCAGTTTGGTATTAGTGATGGATAGTGGCTCGCAGTGGAATCCAGGACGCGCGTTTCGTCGAATCAGCTGGATGTAATTGCCTCCCCGTGAATGATTTTGTACCCTCTTAGACTCGACCCAGGACTGGTCGCTTCAAACGCCAAAGCGTCGTTATCCACTACACCGCTGATTCAGGATAGTCCTTCCTAATGTCCATATATGTTTTTTTTACGGAATAAAATTATATATGTTAAGGAATCGGCCTGAAGAAGCTTTAGCTAAAAGTAAAGTACTTACGGGGTCAAATGTTTTCGTATTTTGTTTGTTCACATAACATATCCCAATTGACTTTGATGACTAGTAAATTACTGTGGAATTTAGTGCTGTAGTAGAAAAAGTATTTAAACTGGTGACGATTAAAGGTGAAATCAAAACGTGGATCGCGGCTGGATTCGAACCAGCAATCACCTGGTTTCCAACCCGCTGCTCTACTAACTGAGCTACGAGGTCCAACTGCTGACTAGATTTTTATTTTACTTCGAACATCTAGGGTTTCTGCCCGACTACAATGTGAATTCGTGACGCATTACTACCGCTTGATCGGATTCACACTGGCTACCTGATGAAGATTTCTCATCGTAATGGAAGTCTAACTGAATTAGAGGGAGAGGGAGCATCATATTGATTATCATTTGACTATCTGAGATGGCCGTGGTTTAGCAGATTAGTATTTATACTAGGTGATGATTCAAGGTGAAATGAAAATTTGAACCGCGGCCGGATTCGAAGGAATATAAATACTAGTCTACCAAATTACGGCTATCTCAGTCAAATAATAAAGAACTAGTATTGCATAATTTTAAATTGTCATACTCTGAGGTAACGCAAAAATCAATCAACCTGTTATTAGTTCGAGTTTCGCTCCACCTACTAAGGTCTGCTCAGGCCAGGCACCATCATTAAACATCACTGCCCACTGAAAAAATATATATGTATGGTTGCTGAACAAGTTTCGATTGATTGAACTGCAGAATAGTTAGGCATTGGACTTATAAATGGGCATTGAAGGCTAAATACATGTATATATGTCTGTTAGTGTGCAGAAAGATTAGCAGAATCTTCATAAGAAGCCGTAAACCGTTAAAACCTTTTTCAACCAATCACTTTGCTGCAAAGTTTCGGGGGGAAAACACATGAACTAACGTATAAGTATCAGGTTGGTCGAAGAGATGAAAAATCAATCGGATTTCAATCTAGAAAGGCCTGAATAAAGCTGAGACCATGGTGATACATACAGACGTATTTTATATGTATTGTAGACGTTGACATTGTAAATACACGGAGAAATTGAGTGACCAGCAAGGGATGGAATGTGAATAAATTTGAACACTCCTCTACATATACATAGTAGAGGTTCTATCAAGTTCATTGGTGAAGATATATAAAAAGGTGGCAACTGAAGTTATATAAGTTACGTTGATTTTCCGTCATATCATCTAAAATTCCAATGTGGATTGTCTGCTGCGAATCCTATGATTCTTTTGTAACAAAACGCACACTTTAATGCATGATTTAAGTGAAGCATTTAAAGTATACGCTGATTATTCTAGCATAATCTTGTTTCTCACTAATCACTCTCATCTTAGACACTATTTTACTTATAAGCTGATTTTTATTGGACAGTTGTTACACCAGTTTGTACTAATCATGTCAATTCACCTTGATTCAAAACGAAAGCTTACCTATCAACTTCTTGCAATGTGTTTACTTCATTATGCTATTTAATGGTTAACTCCTTGTGTAGTAGTAAGTCATGTTTTCTGAACAAGTTAGCGCCCCGGCATATGTAACACTTCTCTACATTGAATTGATTGAGGTGTGATACATTACCGCATCAGATGATCATGTCTATCTTAAGGTTACTCTACTTGAACTCTTTTGGAATAACGAAGTATCCTTACAGATAAGATTGTACTTTGCAATGGGCAACATAGTACAGAATTTTTTTTCCCTTTAAATTACCACACTTCATAGCAGAATTTATTGTATGCTAGCACCTTGACCAATTTACTTACCCGAAGGGTCAGTAACCGATAAAATCTCGGCACTGGTAGAAAAGGCTTGTTTGACTCTCGATAGCTTACACCATCTATAGCGCTTTCTTGATATCTGATTACCTATTAGGGGTTGAATGCACTGCGCTGAAGTTCTCTCTGTTCTTCTATATGTCTATGAAACGGTCACGAAGTCAGCTGTAGAGTTTTAAAGGGGGAGGGAAAGCCAATTGATAGAGTTTGTCAACCTTTGTCGACTGAAATGGCTACGGCATGTGTTACACATGCCTAGTCATAATTTTGTCTGAAGTGAGTTTAGGCTGAAAAAAGTTTAGAAGTCGCCAAACTGAAGCATGACATTATTGATGATCTGAACCGTGTAAGGGTAATGTACACTTCCTGATTGGGGTCCGCCTGGCAACCGAAATCAGGGTTTTTAAACTTAAATGATTTCGCTAGGAATCCGTCTCAAATGACACAGTTGTATCTACATATTATCGTCATACTGAATTCTGTATTTCCTATTCCTCCTTGTTTTTTTTATATCATGACTTCGTGGCACTTTTGACTGGCTTCTTCTTTACTTCTTTATCTTTGATCTTATTGCATTCATGCTTGATCTACTGATATGTGGTGTGACAGCTTGAACTCTGGTGACAACAGTACCTGGTCCTATGTTGATCTCGTCTGTCATAAGTGAGACGAAACTCTGTTATTATGTGATGAATCTGACAACCATTCATCTTGCTGTCACTTTCTGTTTTTGCCTAATAAATCATTGTTTCATCCACACTTCTATTTTCTCCTATGGATTATAGTAGCGTACGAACAATATTCAATAGTTATTTGTTCAGTGTTAGTCGCATTCACAAATCTATCAGTTTCAATTAACCCCTAATGTCTTGCCTCCTTACACTTAAACTTCCTTACTATATCGCGTGCTATTCAAATCAGTGTAAGCTTATGTGACATTTTTCATTTAGTCGTTTACTAATCGGACACATTTAATTGTGTTATTGCCTTGCGTGTTAGTAACTAATTTCTTTTTTTTTGTTTATTGAAAATAGTTACAACCTGCCATTTTGAACAATGCTCCCGGTTCACTGGAACATGATCCCGCTTACTTGTATCTACGAGATGGTGTTGCCAATGTACTAGTAAGTTATGTTGTTTGATGGTTTTATAGTAAAATTCCCTTCCAAGAAACTATTGGCTAACAGGATCTACTCATTTCTCTTGCCTCACCTTACCCATGGATGCCAAGGAAAGAATGCAAGTTATACTGACTAGGTGGTTATATAATCCATGCATGGATTGGTGGTCATTGGATTGAATTCATTCCATTCTCTAAATCTTGTCTTTCTTACCATGTTCGAATCTACCAGAGGAAATAAATACCTGATGTTCTGTTGTTTGATATGCTGTTGGATTGAAGCCAGGTTCAGTTGGCGTAAAAATCGAGTTGTAACATGCATTCAGTAACCTTGTGCATCTTCGTGCAGTAGGCAATAAGCCACACACCTATTGTGTAAGGCCTGATGATATAGTATACCTGGCTACCCACAGTTCGGTAAGTGGATCGGTGTTCCAACCCGTGACCCGCTATTAGTTGACAGCCGACTTCTTAAACCGATGAGTCATAAATCTACAAGATTTTTCCCCATATCACTTGGAATCCCAAACCACTGGTTTCTCTTATCCCGCAGACCCCAATCTGCTAATCTGCATCACCCTACTTAAATTAAATGAACAGCCGAGATCTTCATGCATTGATGCCATGTTTTAGTCTGGCCATCCGGAGCCTTTTTCCAGCCTGAACCTATTTCAGCCGAAATTGTGTGACGAGGCAGGATGGTAGGTGGTTAGACATACATAACACATGTCCCGACCAGACATTGATGAAGGTTCACTACCGTACCCTCCCTAAAAATCTATGTTTGACTTCTGCGTTACTCACGTGGTGACACCATGAAACACGGTCTATGCTACGAAGGCAACGGTGGCCAGCCACCTGAAGCCTTCTCATGTCTTCTACCTTCAGTAGCCGTGTTTCAAAACCATAGACTAGAAGAGAGCAAACTGCAGCGCAGTATCCTGGACCTTTAATAGACAATCGGATATCGCAGCGGCAACGCAGATGGCATAAGCTCATGAAAATCAACCGAACCTTTTGTATCCATCCAGATTTCGTCGGCCACTGACCCACCAAGGTGGCGCTGATTCGACTTTCCAGGTAAGTGAAATATTCAATACAGTCAATCATTTCGCTCCTTATTTGTTAGATGGAACACCGTTGAAGAACAATCCCGGAGCGACAATTTGCATTTGGATGGCGAGATACGCATCCCAAACATTCTCAAACTACCACTCAAGTTATTCAGAAGACTCTGCATCTTGTCATCGTCTTCACCTAACATGACTATGTCATCTGCGTATTCTAGGTCTACCAAAGATTCTCCTGTGATTAGATCAATCCGTATGTGGTGAAATGATGGAAGGGATACATCCATTAGAAAGTCTATAATAAAATTGAATAAGAATGGATAGAGTGGGCATCGTTGATGGACGGAATTCGACGTACACAACTCAAACGACATCTTACCGTAGACTCTAACACGTCCACATGTGTTCGAGTAAACAGCGTTCAATAAGGTGTATTCGGTACCCTTTTCAATGAGACATTGCCATATGACTTCTCGATCAACGGAGTCGAATGCCACCTTCATGTCGAGAAATACAGCTATTGTTGGGCGTTGGTAAGCGTGCCTGTGTTCCAGAACCTGGCAGAATGTGAATATCTGGTCGGTACACTCATAGATAGGTCAAAAGCCTGCCTGGTTTTGTCGGGTTTAATGTTCCCGAGCTCCATTCAGGCATCTTTTGGTGCAACACTTCATAATTTAGCTTTAAACAGACAATTTAAAATTTTCAGCAGTGAACATGAGAAGATACATTTTACTGGAATAAAAATTAATTGTAATGAGCATAACACATGTTTAAGTGCACAATGAAATTTTTCTAAAGATTTTCACATTCACTTCATTTATATATTTACTTCGTTTTCAACATACATTTATTTGATAGAGGTGTATGCCATTAGCCTAACTTCCACAGTCTTCAAGTTTCAGGAAAAAATATACAGACAAATAGGAGTAGCAAGGGGATGACTAATATCCCTAGTTGTCGTAGATATGCTTATGGATAGTTGAGAAGACATGGCTTTTTTGAACGTATAATCCTACACCTAAGATACGGTGGCGATATGTGGATGATGCATTCATTGTGTTGAAATCGGCACATAACAACAATTTCCTTACACATAAACTCAGTAGTAGGCGAAATCCAATTCACATAAGAGGTAGAAAATGAGCCAGAAGAATTGAATTGCAGAATAAAACGAAAGACAGATGGTGACTTAGTTACCACCGTCTACAGAAAGCGGACATATTGCAACAGGTATCTAGACTTCAAGTCATCTCATCCAATGTCATGTAAGGCAGGTTTAGTCAGATGTCTAAATGATAATGATTCATTGTAACCAACTAAAGAAGGAATTTAAACACATAAGAGAAACGTTAGTAGTTAATAATTATCCTCCACGGTTTCGTGAAAAGTTCGTACGATTACATAAGAAACAAAATAATAACAGTGGTACGAATAGGAATAGCACCGATAACACGAGTAGAAAGGAGTTCACAACCTCCATTGTGTTACTACCCCATAAGGAAGGAAGGAAGGAAGGAAGATGAGAAACTTTATGTAGGATTCTCAACAAGACTGGAATGAGGGTGACATGTAAACCTACAAACTCACTCAGAGATAAGCTTTGTCGACTGGTTTAAGGATGTGATTGGTCGAATTAAGTGAAATAATGTAACCTACCAATGACTGTGAAGTCAAGTGGATTGGTGAAACTAGCTGATGATTGGGGTTAGTTAGAATGGTGGAACATAGGAATTTCGTTGAATATGGAATGACAGACCGGAATAAGATTAATAATGTAGAAATAGACTGGGCTGTTGGAATCCACGTATGCATCGATTAACACGCAACTACACCATAGGCTGAGATGAAGTCACGAATGTAGGTAGGTGAAGATAAAGAGAGAGAGATTGTTACTGGTTGTTTGTCCATTCTATGAATCAACACGGAAGACATGTGGCAGAGATGACGGAATACGTGTACTAGAGATATGTAAAGCGTTATTGCTATTGAATTGAAGACAAGTAATGTGAGGTGACAGGAGTATAAAAGCAGATGTGTTGAGAGTGTTGTGTGATTGCATTGATATGATTATGAAGAATGATAATTTCTGTTTGAAATGTCATCCAGTAGATAATACTGTATGATTCATTCACTGTGTGTTGGCGTATATCATAACCTAATGTATTATGGGATTACATTCTACCACAGTGCCCAAGCTTTACAATTACATAAGCTTTACCTCTGTACGTTTTCGTTTCAACTAGTAAGTTATGGGTTCGAACTGCAGTCCTTACCAACCGAGGTTTAAGTAACCAAATAATATTGTTAACCCTTCTAAAAACAGGTGGTTCCTCATAGCCTCTTAATCTACCAGCCTGCAGATGAGTGTAACCGACTAAATGGCTGATAAAATCAGCGTAAAACCTCACACGCCGGTTCATCGACTAAAGTTGCTTCACTTGACAGTAGTATACAAAGAATATATGGATACGAAAGGAGTCACATCGAAGTAGATAAAGTTTTGTGAGAGAATAAACAGTCTGAAGGTAAATGTTAGTATGAATATTCGTTTTAGATACCAAATGGTGAGTGTATCTGTGCTATTGTGATTGATTTTCAGCTGTCACCAAGAGTCTTCGACCACTGTTTAGTTACGTCTCGAGAACCTCAACTATGGAGTCTACATCACCTCACATGGGTGAGGTTAACAGTTAGAAACTTCATTTGACAACGCTATCACTGATTCCCACACAATGCATCTGTCAATCTAATCAGGGATTTCCTACCTCATCCTTCCAAACTTCAGGTGGAAAACTGTTAGGTCTTGCAGGTTGCTATGCATCGTTTCGGGTTCGATACTACTTTCTCAACTTCAAGGAGATTTGGACAACCGACATCTACGTTCCATTCAGGTTCACACTGGATGTTAGGCAAGTACAGCATTGCTAGGGCCAGTTGAACTATGCTTCTAAAAGGTTGTCAGCATTTCGTCGTCTTCGGTGTTGGTTTGACTAACCGTGGTCTGCTTCATACCGGTATCCTTAGGAAGCGTAAATAGTTACCGAGTATTTCGAATGTCTAGGTTAAATGACTTACTACTGAACTATATCGATATACATTATATATCTACTTGGATTACAATGCTTACGAATTCATCTTGTAAGGTATTCGAACAATCTAGATTTTCACCTTCCCTTGACTCAAACAATAATTATTCAGTGTATATATCGATGACATGACTCTGTCTTGTCGGTTTGGCCGATATTTTGCTCTTAACCTCCGTTTCGATTTCCTGTTGGTTCCTATGATTAACGGACTAAGATAAATGCAGAGCACTGGTCCCAACTATTATTATTCCCCCGAGTTATTATGTTCGATTTGGTCATACAACCACTAACGTCACAGCAATTGACCTACAGAGAAGATGAAGTTAGACTATAAGTTCACAAAATACCGAAGAATGAGAATAGTAGATACCCGAAGGAGATTCATAATTGACTGACTGGTTGTGATTCTCATCCTAACTGATTACAAATGAAACAATCGATAAATCCTAATGAGTTGAATATAAGAATAATCGGCACATCAAGCGTTAGCAGGTACAAAATGTTAAACCAATCACTTCGGATTGTTTTCTGTAAGTGCCCCACTCCCAGAGATGATTCATTGGTTTGAACCCACCTCCGCCTACATCGTCATACAATAGATCTAGCTCATTGACTACTACACGAATGTGTAGAAGGTTGTTGATTTGATTCGATCTCTGATACTCTAGAATAGGGGAACATTCCGGGGAATCTGAATTTCAGTAAACTTCTCTTTCGCATTCGTTTTGATGATACCTGTATTTTCCCATTGCTATACAGGACTGAATTGCTCGACCTCTGTTGACAGTTAGACTCCTATACGGATGTCTTCATACTACTGGATATTCATTATGTTATATTGATGTTGGTGACTAACAAACAGGCTTAGTGGATAACTTGAAGGGTACTAGGTTTGAGCTTCAGTCGGAACAACATCACTTTCTAGGGTGCAGGTATATTCGACTGACTAGTGAATCCTAAATTGGACAAAACCCATGTCCTGGGTTCTTTTTCTAGTCATCTAAATTTCCTTGAAATCACCCATTTGTACTTAAGTTGACATTCAACTTTATAATGATGATGATGATGACTTTTAATCTTCTACATGTATAATGAATAATTTCATATTGAATTTTTATTTTAGAATACTGATGTTACACTGATCAATCTAACGAATGGAGATGAGAATGGTGAGAATATAGCACTAACTGCTGGAACATTATTTCATGGTCCATCAAATGTTTTTTCAACTAGTGGAATATTTTCTACTACTAAATTTTACAATACTAATTCTACCTCTAGTAATAATAATAATCATAATAATAATAATAATACTATTCTATTATTAGGAAATAATAATCCTAATAATTTCTCTAATGTTACACTATCATGTGAACTAATTCAGATAACTGGACCTATGCCAATCAATATTGCTGTAATAGATGCATCAATTGAATTATTCGGTAAATTATTTGCTTGTGTTTCTCTACGTCATTGTACTCAAATGTTAGAACATTTTACTGAATGTATTCGTTTAACTAAATCAATTCGTCAAGAAGCTGTACAAATCAATGTATTCGCTGCTTTATTAAATGCATTACGATATTTAACTGAAATTAAATCATCATTTGGAGATGATTTAACACTTAGAAAAGCTGCTACAAATCTAATCTTTGTAAGTAACTATTTTTTGATTTCATCTACTTTGTTTAATTTTTTTGAAAGGTGGTTATTTTCTACGCCTTTCACCTCACTCACTGTATGTATCACTTGTTATCCAATCAAATTGAATAAGGAAACATCTCATGTGATTGGTTGTATGACATTGAAAAGTATTATAAATGGAAAGAAAAAAAAAACTGAGGAAGGCTTGCTTTTCATGATGAACGATGATATCATCCGCCGCGTTTCCGTCTTTTAGAGTCTTTGAATGTCGCCCTAATAGAGTATGAGAAGTAGACGTACACGCACTACATTGTGCGAGATTCACATTTGCAAGGTGATCGAAGAGCCTACATCAAGTTTGTTTGCTTTAAGGCAAGTGAACGCCGGTCAATAGATGGCGTAGTGACAAGAAGGTCAGTTCTGTTTGTTTTCATAATATACTTCGTAGAATATTCCTGAAATGTTCTTGTCGGACATTCGTGCTTGCGAAGTTTTTAGAAGGTTTCTGGACAGTAAGTCGGTGGCCGTTAACTCACAATCATCCCTGGAATCCTCTGCTTTATGACAATAGTTGTTGGGTCTAGAAGTTGACGAGAGTTGAATTGGACAGTATAAAGCATTGGTAATATCTGGCACGTCTGCACTTAATGTTGTTGTTTCCGTTTATACATACTATGGTAAACAACCATTCTTCACGGATGAACGGCAGTTCCTCGCAGTCCTCCGGTTTGTGCGGAAAATTTTAGATGTAGGACACCCATTCCGGTGGACACAATTCCAGAACATCTTGCAGCATACAGTTTGTCAGGTGGTTCCGAAGAAGAAATGCAAGTGATAGCTGCAGCTTTGAGTACGATCACGGTGGAAGACCAGTGACTCCTCAGTCACCCATAATAGCAATAAAGTTGACCTAAACGCCAATGTCGCCGATCAAACAGGGGCTATGGAGTTGGTCACTTGAAACTCTGAGGAGATGGACCATGTAGATGTAGATGCACCAACTTCCATTCCACTTGCCGGCGCATGGATGATAGCATGCCGTTGTCATGCAACATTCCATAGATTCTGCTCCTGGAATTCACACCGAAGAAGCTTTTTTCTCGAATAACCTGCATGTTACGGAAACCCCTGACAGGAAGGTAATATCAATGACAGTTAGAGGGATTTTCGTTGATCATGACATAGTATTTGTGATTATGACAACAGTCGGAGTATGAATGATAACAAAGTAGATTACGTAATATATGGAGTGGTTCATGGACGGTATATAACCAAGAAAGGGGTGAAAAAAAATTGATGAGAGTAGTAAATCAACTAAGTATTGTTTTTTTTATTAGGATTAGATAAGTTGGTCAAGATGGAATCAATATTTTCTAAAAACATGAAGGCAATTATAATAACAGTAACAGTGATAAAGAAAGGATATAAAGGTTAAATTAACAAAGGGGGGAAGGGAAACTAATGGTGATGGCGGAAATGTCATGGACATGGTAAAAACTACTGACTACATACCTCCGCTGGTTTAAGGAGTTGAAAACGTGCGAAGTTTGGGGGGGGGGGGGTTGATAAGTGACTTTGAAGTTATTGTCTGGATTTGTTGAATGATGGCAATCAATCAAATGTTCTAGAATAGAACTTCTAACAGACTTTCTTTCACGTTTATTAAACCAGTCTGGATTATGTTCTCGTATACGTGTAGAAAGGATTCTGTGGCTACAAGTCGATGTACTTTACTCCACGAGAGCTGGCGAACTGGTGGCCAAACGAGGAAGCTTATCTTTAACACAAACGAAGAATAGTTAACCGCTGGTAAACGTTAATTGAAGTGTTACTGCGAAGAAAGTTCTATCGATCGATTTGCATAGACTCCAACTGTTATCATAATCATAAATACCTATGTCATCTGCATTCCAAACAATCTGATCACACAACTTGTCAAGGTATTAAAACGAGATAAAGATTACCAAAGCTGAAGGCTTAAGATAAGGAAAAATTGTTTTTGAATACACAAAACGGAGTGTGAACTTTAGGCTTCAATGAACCTAGGTATACGCTTCTGTCATATTGTTTGGTCATCTCTTTTACGGCAGTGTAAATGTCCTTATGTGGAACAGAATACTGATTTGTTTGCATCGTTGAGACGTTTTTATAACGATTGATGAACATCAGAGGATATGCGTTCTTCTTCATAAGTGTCTCTGTTAAGAATTTGATATCTTCCTCCAATGTGTCTTTTGTGCAGATACGTTGTATATTTTACTAAACCTCGTTTGTATTTCATTGGACAAAACTATAAACGTTTCAGTACTGTTCGGTTCATGTAGGTTTTTTATACACCGATCTTTTTATCGATCCATCTTCTTAGTTTATCCAATTATATGTCAAAGAAAGGAAGCTGATTATTATTTTCTGCTTCATACGACGAACTAATGTCTTTGTATGGTGTTAAGTCGATCTAGAAGACTTTTCACATCCTCACGTTTTTTACATATAACTAAGATATTATCAACGTATCTCTTGTACAGAAAGACTTTATTTATTAAATCGTCGACCAAATGTTCTACAAGTGACATATAGGCATGAACTGACAATTGTCCTAAAGGGATTGCCTATAGCGACACCATCAACTTGTCGAAAATGTTCACCTTCGAAAATGAAGTGAACTTTATCCGTGCATAGTTGTTAACATCTCTTACAAATATTCTAGAGGAGTGGGGGAATGAAGGAATATTCAAGGATATACAATCACTAAGAATACATCAACAGTCTTGGTTAAAGAAATCTTGATGAATAAAGAGTTTACATGTAAAGAATACATTGTCTTATCTTTGATGCTAATATCATTAATGTAGTCGATAAGTTCAAAAGGTATTTTTTTAATGCAAACTTGCATGATTGATTTTTAACTTTACTTAGCATTCAAGCTAGCCATTTTGTCAATTTATGCGTTGGGGAACACAGCGATACTATTCAACGTAATGGGATATTTGCATTTTGTGTCTCAGGCAAAATATATAAATTTAGATGTTCACACTCTATGAATTTTAACTAATGAAATTCCTCCCTGTTCATAACATTCATATTCACGAATTTTAACTATTATTTTATTATTATTAGTCCCTTGGGTTCCTAATGGAACATAGGGCTTCAGTAGCACGTCTCCATTCCACTCTTTTCTCTGAAATCTTTTGAACCTGGCTCCACAACTGCTCAGAAGCTCTCATTTCCTCCTCACACGATCTCCTCCATGTCACCCTCGGCACCGACGTCCAACTCGTCGCTTCCCATGGGGATTCCACTCGAGTGGCTGGCCTGACGCGTGATGTCCCCAGTCAGCCTTCTCAGTGTATGCCCAATCCATCTCCACTTCCTTCCAGTGTATATTTGTTGGGTGATAGGTTGTTGGTTGGTTCGTTCCCAGAGTTCCTTGTTGCTTATTCTTATTATTCTGGCAATCCATCTGATCTTCAGTAAGGAGTGAGTGTAGGTGGCAGTTGTTGATGAATGTTTGTAGTTTGTTGGAAATGCCTTTCGTGAGGCGCCAAGTCTCTCACTCATCACACATAAGCACTGACTTGACTGAATTCGTGTTGAATATCCGGATCTTGTTCACGCTTTATGGTGAGCGTAGTGCAGAAGATCTCCATAGTGGTTTCAGGCTAATGAAGGCCTGTCTTGCTTTTCCGATTCTGACTTTGACATCCTCGTCTGTGTCTGTGCCGCCTGTAGTTGAAACAGTGCTTCCTAGATAGGTGAAGGAGGTTACTTCCTTTAAGTTTCTTCCGCTGATGGTGATTGGAGTTTGTTGTTGTTGTTGATGCGGTATCTTCATCATCTCTGTCTTCTCTACGTTCACTTGAAGTCCCGACTTCGCTGCCCTGCCATGTCTCTTCTGTCAACTTGTTAGTTTTCACCTGTAGATCTTCAAGTTTGTGCTACAAAACATTAGACACAAGTCATCGGTGAAATCCAAGTCTTCTAGGTTGTTTTCCGCAGTCCAGCATATCCCCCTCTTCTCACAGCTCCCCACTGTTTGTTGCATGATACAGTCGACCACAATCAGGAAGATTATAGGGGATAGTAAGCGGCAGCCTTGTTCCACTCCTGTGTTCACTTCAAAAGCATCACTGAGCTTTCCATTATGAATTACTTGGCATGTGGCATCTTCATATAGTTGTTGAATGAGGCGGATAAAGGTTTGTGGTATTCCGTAGTATTGAATCAGTTTCCAAATTACCTCTTGGTCGACGCTGTCAAAGGCCTTTTCAAAGTCGATAAAGTTGAGGTGTAGAGTTGACTGCCATTCTATGCTCTGTTCTATGATGATGCGAAGCGTTGCAATTCGGTCTGCACATGATTTGTAGTTTCTGAAGCCTGCTTGTTCCTGTCGTAGTTTTGAATCTAGTGCATCCTTTAGTCTCTCCAGGATGATGCGGCCTGATATTTTGCTTGCATTGGGTGGACAGGAGAGTGATTCTGTGCCAGTTCTTGCAAACACTGAGGTCTCCCTTCTTCGGCAGTTTGACAAGGTAACCTTTTTTCCAATCAATAACCAGGTACCTTCTCTTCCTTCCTCACCTTCTGCAATAGTGGTGTGAGCATGTCCGCTGAATATGCTCACAGCAATCATTATCTTTTACTGTATGCTAGCGATAAGTCTACTCTTCATACTCTCTAATTTGATTCATCGATTTGAATTGCTTGAGTTCAGAAGAAGAGTTGATTCAACATAAATTGCAATCAGGTCAAGCAATTCCACCCAGTAACGCGAAAAGAAATTACAAGTATCAATAAACAACAATTGATGCGTGTTGTTTAAGTGGCCTAGTGGATAACATTTTGGCGTCTGAAGCTATGGGTACTCGGTTCGAGTTCATATGGGAACAACATCATTCAGGACGTGTGCTTCTTCCCACTTAGGACTCGCCAACTGGATGTATGTTTTCCCCCACTGAGTGGATCGTGTTCATCACTTAAAACGTTAGGGCGTTTTCATCCTCTGGACTACTGAATATTGAGGCTCATCTCATATATTGGACACTAGTTGCTTGGGTAGTCCGGTCCTAGACACTTACATAATCTTGATAGAAATTTATTCTTCATAGTTTCTTGCTTGCATCAATGGTTATGATGACCATAATTTCAAGATATTTGAAAAATCCTATGCTATACTCATCGTACAAGGAGGGGCTATCGGGACTCAGTGGTCTAGTGGATGACGCTGTGACATTTGAAGCGATTCGTTCTAAGTTCTTGTCTCAGTGAGAACAACATCACTCACAGCTGATGAATACAAGAAACGACGATATGCGCGTCCTAGATTTTTCTGTTAACCCTAACTAAGTCAATTATGGCTGTAAAAGTAGCGGCCCATATGCTAACAGAGGTCGAACAATTCGATCCAGTATAACAAGGGATAATTACAAGTATATCAACAAATGGTAATAATCCATACCGGTTTTACAAAAGGTGGCTATCGTGCCTCGGTAGCCTAATGGATATCGATCCTTTGGCGTTTAAAGCGATGGGTGCCAGGTTTGAGTTGCAATGCGAAGAGCAACAATCACTGGTGTACAGGTACTTCCTACTGGTGAATCGCAAATGGGACGAAATGTACATCTTGGATTCCACTGTTAGACACTGTCCATTATTTATAGCAAATTTGAATAGTACGGGTTGTATCGAGGCGTCTGCACAGGAGGAGCCTCTATTCTCAGTAGTCACCGACGATTTTGCTCCAATCAGCTATGAAGAATGACAAGCCAAAACATCAAAGGATAACGGGAAGTAGGACTTTAAAAATGATGTCTGAAACTTGTGCGATTATCTTGATGTGATTGCAAACAGTAGATTGTGTTCGAGACGTCATCCAACTATATATTAATTGAGTAACAAGGAAAACGTCATTCGATCATACCAGCTTGTATGGACACTGATCAACGTTCAAGCTTTCTCTTATGTTATCCTAAATCATTGAGGTAAATTGGAATGAAAAGTTCTATCTGGTCAACCAGTGTGAAAACGATTAAGCGATAGTAACGCGTCACGTATTCATATGGTAGTCGGGCAGCGAATCTTTTAATGATTGAAGTGAAATAAAAATCTGGTCAACAGTCGGGTATTATGGATAGTCTCAGTTGGCAGACTACTCGGTGGCCGGTAACATAGAGAGCGCTGTTTTGAATCCTGCTATGGTTCAAATTTTTATTTCACCTTCAATCATCACCTAGTAACAATAATACATACAAGTCTGTTGAACTATGACTATTTCAGATAAATAAGCAAACTGGTAATGATGGACGGTGACTAGCAGTGGAATTCTAAGATTCGCGTTTTGCCCTATTTGAGACTCATCAGCTGGATATACCTACCTCCCAGTGAACGGTGTTGTTCCCATCAGGATTTGAACTCGGGACTGATAGCTTCGAACACCAAAGTGTTATCCACTAGAACACCGAGTTACGATGGCCATTTCTTGTGCGGAGGGTATAGTTTTAATGATGTTACTTGAATTATCTTTGTTTGTGTGTGAAGTGTTATCTTTTTTTCTATCGATAAAAGATACTGTAATTTAGGCAATTCTTTTCAGTCTAGATTATACGGTTATCCGTATAGTCAAAATTCAACACTGATCAATGAATTACAAAGGAGTATTATTTATGATGTAAGTACAATGTGATATGGTTTGATGACAATTCCACTGACGATGATAATCATAATAACAACAATAATGATGATTTCATAAGCCTACATAATCACTGAAGTGAAGCACCACTTTTAACAATATTTTAATTATGCTCTCTTCAATTTTTAAACACATTCGGTCAAGATTAACTCTAACTAAACTAACCAATGAGTGTAATTCCATTTTGGATTTATTTATTTGATATACACCAGCACACAATTTGATATAGTGTTATATACTGGATGACGACATTTCTAGCATAAATTATCATTAATCATAATCAGCAACTTCGACATCTGATCTTCACAGTCCTGTCACATCTTATCCGTTGTTTCTATTGGTAGTAAAATTTTCCAGTTTTCTGACATAGATGTTGCATCATTCCTATTACATGTGTTGGCTGACTGGATGAACAAAGATTCAGTAACAAGTCTGTCTCTCTGGCTCTCTCTCTCCACGAAGTTATATTGGTGGTTTCATCTCACCCTATGGTGTAATTGTGTGGTAATGGATGCTTACGTGGATTCCAACAGGCGAGTCTCTTCCCAGATTATTAATCTTATTCGGGTTTGTCATTCTATATTTAACGAAATTCCTATGTTCCATTGTACCAACTAACCTCGATCAGCTAGTTTTGTAGTGGGCGTTGCTGATAAGAATGGATATTAGGTAGTATATGTTGAGAGGGTGGCAGAAATCATAGGGAATTATCAGCAATGCGTAAGGATTCCGCCAAGAAAAACGCAAGACACAAGGCAGGCAAATGAAGAGCAAATTAAGAAAGAAGCAGAAGAGTAAATGTAAGATATTTTCCAAATGATGGTTTGAGTGCAAGGTGTACCGTATTTAATGACTACTATCCCACTCGTTGACAATTAATATTCCTTCCTGCATACCCGTATTTTGCTTCTTTCAGTTTGAACAATGTACTTGACTTCACAGTCATTGGTAGGTTAGATTATTTCGCTTAATTCGACCAATCGGATCCTTAAACCAGTCGACAAAGCTTATCTCTGAGTGAGTTTGTAGGTTTACATGTCACCCTAATTCCAGTCTTGTTGAGAATCCTACATAAAGTTACTCATGTTCCTTCCTTCCTTCCTTCCTTATGGGGTGGTGACACAATGGAGGTTGTGAACTCCTTTCTACTCGCTTTAGATAAACGAAGCGTTAATAGTTAATAATTATCCGCTACAGCTGATTGAGAAATTGTACGAACACATAAGAAATAAAATAATAACAGTGATACGAATAGGAATAATACCGATAACACTAGTAGAAAGGAGTTCACAACCTCCATTGTGTTACTACCCCATAAGGAAGGAAGGAAGATGAGAAACTTTATGTAGGATTCTCAACAAGACTGGAATGAGGGTGACATGTAAACCTACAAACTCACTCAGAGATAAGCTTTGTCGACTGGTTTAAAGATCCGATTGGTCGAATTAAGTGAAATAATGTAACCTACCAATGACTGTGAAGTCAAGTAGATTGGTGAAACTAGCTGGTGATTGGGGTTAGTTAGAATGGTGGAACATAGGAATTTCGCTGAATATAGAATGACAGACCGGAATAAGATTAAAAATGTAGAAATAGACTGGGTTGTTGGAATTCACGTATGCATCGATTAACACGCAACCACACCATAGGCTGAGATGAAGTCACGAATGTAGGTAGGTGAAGATATATATATATATATAGAGAGAGAGAGAGAGATTGGTTACTGGTTGTTTGTCCATTCTATGAATCAACACGGAAGACATGTGGCAGAGATGACGGAATACGTGTACTAGAGATATGTAGAGCATTATTGCTATTGAATTGAAGACAAGTAATGTGAGGTGACATGAGTATAAAAGCAGATGTGTTGAGAGTGTTGTGTGATTGCATTGATATGATTATGAAGAATGATAATTTCTGTTTGAAATGTCATCCAGTAGATAATACTGTATGATTCATTCACTGTGTGTTGGCGTATATCATAACCTAATGTATTATGGAATTACATTCTACCACAAGTTTTACACTTATATGAAATGAATAAGTTGTCACATTTTCGATAGTTTAATTTTTAGTGTGCACATTAATACTTTAAAGGGATTGGAGTTTGTGTTAACCTTTCTTCTTGGTTTCAAAGTTGTTTTGTTTGTATACTAATCGTGTGAACATGGTGTTATACATATATAAAAATTTTCTTCAATAATCATAGTTTTCATGTTTAATTGTGTTCAATGAATTTAAGGTATTTTCATTTGATTTATGGGTAATCTCCACTTTCCTATTCAGATAATAATCGAGGATTCATAAGAAAATTAAAAGGTATTGAACACACTTATTTCATCTTGTTCTGTCAAACTCCTTATTGACTTGAAGTATGTAGACGATGTTGTCCTGCTAGGGTAAGAAGTTGAAAAAAAATTCAGGTTCTTCTGAACTCCTTGTACAAAGATCTGAGTATCGCATCAATCTAAATAAGCTAGCTTCTGACGAAATCTCAGCTTAGATACAGAAGGTCCCGTTTGGCATTTGGCAGATTGCGTCATCTCTGGGGCTGGAGAGATATTCAACCATCTATCAAAGGATGAGTATACTGCGTTGCAGTTCGTTCTATTCTGTTGTATCGCTGTGAGACACGAAGGGATTAATGAGTTTCTATCACAGATGCTTTCGTGGTATTGCTCGCGTTTGGTGGAATCACTGTGTGTGCAATCTTAAAGTCAGGTAGATAAAACAGGCTAGTTGATTTATGAATTTGTGAACCTTAGTTGACTAAGGTGGCTTAAAGATGTACTGCGCATGCCAAGCCGCCGCCTACCTCAACGTACCATCCTACGGGAAGTTGTATTAGGTTGGAAAAGAGTTGGATGTGGTCAGACCAAGACGTGGAGTCGATCCATGAAGCCTCTTACTGTTGGTCTGAGCCGTGTTGGAAGATGTAGACTGCCTGGTTGGGTTACATGAGACGATAGGAATCAGCGGTTGAGATATGGCTGAAAATCGGTCACAATGACGCAGATGTATACACCCATTGGCATCTTCTGAAGCTTGAATATTAACACACCTCTATCTTCATATTGTTTATTCTCTCACACAACTTTATCTACTTTGATATCACTCTTTTATCTATCCACCTGTTCTTTGTGTATTACTGTGAAGTGTAGCAGCTTGAGACGATACATCTGTTTGCTAAGTTCTACTTTGATTTCATCAGTCCGTCAGTCGTCTCCACAGATGCAAACGGTCGTCTAAGTGTAAAGGGTAAAGCATTCATACATCCCGAAACCTTCCTGATATGGTTGACGTCTGAATAATCCCTCGTTAAAACTACAGTGACGAACCATTTTTTTTCTGGCTGCAGTTCATACTATGGTGTCATAAGAATAGTTCTCCTGTTAATAAGCATGTCGACTTCAGGAAATCCCTTTTAAACTAATAATCCTCACTAAGACATAAAACGAAGATTTCAGTGAAGAAAATTTCTCTTTATGATGATTTAATTTTCAAACGCTATACAATCGTATTTCTATGCATTAGTTTACTCTCATTACGCGTTCAAAAAATCTATTCAGAAGACAGTGTAGATTGTGACAACAGACAGATCAAAACATATGAAGACATAAGAACTTTGCCAAAGAAGAAAATGTGTAATAATTTTGAATTGCAGACGAAATACTTAAGAAGCGTCTGAAAAAGGTCAATAGGTCAAAAAGGTCAATATTCTAACTGCTCTTAGGTCCATTTTAATACTAAAGATATGTTACTTCGATGGTTCAATTCGATATGTATCTACATATTCATCTGGTCTTGTGGAGCCAGATACACAGGAAGTTCATCGAGAATCATTTTCCGTCGCGTTTGACAACATTTCCCAGTATGGCTGAGCAAAAGGGAATATAGTGGCATGAATTCATCAATCCTTCAACATGTAGTTGAATACAATTATTTAGGTTCCACATCATCATTTGACATTATTTACTGAGTTAGATCAAACTTATCGATAGGTGTATGCATACGCTTACTTTACATTGCAGAAGTCTTGGTAATACATAATCTTAAACGAAGAGCAGTTTATACTGTCCCTTTCAATACTCGGGATCTGGTTTGCCATTTTAATCATATGGTTGTTTTACATCTTGCTTTTCCTTATTTTTATGTTTACTCTATTTCAATCCATTTTATTATGTCATAATAATTTCACTTCTATTGATCTCTAACATCATATCACATTTTATCTGACTGATATATTCACATTTTTTTGTTTCACCTAATCTTCATTCAACTACACAAAATCATACCATATTCATTTCATATTTTGTATGGTTAAGGGAGATGACTTTCAACCAAATGGGTCACAGGTTCAAACCCCACTCCACCTACCAAAGTTTTTGGCAGCCATGTAGTATCTCTACTAGCCGTCTTATAATAGGTGTGTAGCTCATTGCGTACTGTATGGATGTTCACAATCATCATCATCATTATCAACATAGGACCAGGCATTACTGCGTAACGGTCCGAGTTGCCACACCTCATATCAGCACATCAAGTAAAAAGGTAGTGAGGTGAAGGATGAAGATAAGTGAATGCAGTCAAAAGAAATATAAAGTACGAGAAGAAAGGAAAGAGGAGTGACAAAATAGTGAGATTCGGTATAGCGTTGTTAAGATGAGGATAATGTGTGTATACATCTGCGCCACTGACTTCGGTTCTGAGCCATATCACCTAGGGTCTCCAACCACTGGTTCCTCTTGTCCCGTGGACCCCAACCACCTAGTCTGCATCGTCCTACATGGCTTAAACCAACAGTCAGAGACTTCATACATTGGTGCCATGTTTTAGTCTGGCCACCTCGGGCCTTTTTCCAGCCTGAACCCACCTCAGCCAACATTGTGTGACGAGGCAATCGGTGACTAGGCATACGTAGTACGTGTCCCAACCATCTCAGTCGATGAAGGTTCACAACCTCGTCGACTGACTTACCT